AAGAAAATAAAAACTTAGACAGATTACATTTTGGAGAATTTATTTGAGCATGAATTGGGCAGCACCCAGAACTAGAAGAGGTTTAGGGAGCAGTGGGCCAGGCACAGGGCAGCAGTCACCTGATTGTCTACAGCTAGGCATCTGTATGATGAGGTATTCGCCTTCTGCAGACATGGTTTCTGTGTTGGCTGCCTGTGATTGCCAGTGTTGGTGGGCCTCATCCAATCTGTTGGAGGCCTGGATGGAACCAAAAACAAAGTGAACACGAGTTTGTTCTTTCTGCCTGACAGCCTGAATTGGGACATCAGTTTTCTTGCCCTCAGACTGAGATATGCACTGTCAGTTCACTTGGTTTTGGGGTCTTTGAACTACCTCAGTGATAGCTGACTAGAACCTACACCACCATCTTCCCTGGGTGTCCAACTTGCACAAGAAAGATTGTGAGACTTCTCAGCCTTCATAATCATGTGAGCCAGTTCCTTAGAAGGGGTGTGTGTGTGTGTGTGTGTGTGTGTGTGTATGTGTGTGTTCTATTGGTTGTGATTCTCTGGAGATCCATAACACAGTTTATTGATCCTTACATTTATCCAAGAATGAACAAATATGTACTGTAGAGTGTCCACTACGTGTCAAGTACCACGAAGAGCTGAGTTTTCCCTTACTTTTCTGTTTTCATTTCTCTTCCAATGACTTCTTCTCAAATCTCTGCCCCTGGGGAAAAAAGACTTTGGAATAAGATAGATCTTGGTTTCTAATTCAGCATAACTACTTACTAGCTTTATAATCTTTAACTAGCCTCTTTAGTCCCAGTTACATCTTCTGTAAAATAGACATAATAAGAACACCACCATTTAGGGTTACTGATAAAATTCAAAGGCATTACATTGCAAGCTCGCCTAGCTCAATGCCTGACATATGGGGGGGGGGGGCACTCAGAAATTGACTTTCCTCCCTGTTTTCTCCCATAAGAAAAATGAGAGGCTTCACCCATCCCCATCAGTTTTGTTCAAAACTACCTATTTTTACTGTACTATTGCTGCATATGGCCCCAATTCAAACCTGTTCCAGAATACAAATGACTGTCCGTCTAAACACACAATCTTCATTGATGTTTTCATGCACATATAGATTTAGATGTATGCACCTGAAGATATACATTATGCCTCAACTATATATATATATATATATATATATATATATATATATAATATATATATATGTATATATATAATATATATGTATATATATAATATATATGTATATATATAATATATATATATATAATACTCAATCAGACAATAGTAAACTCGAACTTTTAAAAATTTCTGACAATATGCTGACAAGAGGCTACATTCTTTAAAGCATTTATTTAATGATTTATCATAGAAGGTAGAAAAATTGACCTGTCAAAAAACAATTCACTAATTAGGATCTTTGCAGAATTACCTGCTTTTCAATGATGATGTATGCAGAATGGGCAGGAATAAAAGAAGGTCTGAAAAATGTGTGAAAAGGAATAACAGATGGTACTTAGTGGAATAGAATAGAAAATATCTGAGAGTAAAGGATGGGAGAAAAGAGAAGTTGAGAAATGCGGTACGTGGCACTAAAGAGCTCTGGGCATTTTATCAAGGACAGTTAGAGGCCCTGGCATGGCTAACTTCCAGCTCCACTAATTACAGTCTGATGACCAATTTCAAATGCTATTCTTTATTTACTAAGTTGAGGCATTTCCACTCTTGCATTTGGAAGGTCACTCTGGGTTCTGGTATCTTTTTTTGTACTGGGGATTGAATGTAGGAACTTTTTACTAGTGAACTCCATCCCCAATCCTTCTTATTTTATATTTTAAGATAACATCTCATTAAGTTACTAAGAGTCTCTCTGATCTTGAACTTGGAATCCTTGGGCCTCAAACCAAGGATTGGTTGCTGGGATTACAGGTGTGCATCACTGTGCCTGGCTTGGGTTCCTGTATGTAAATGAACTGAACTTTAGGCTCATTTGTAAGATGCTATGAAAACAATAATAACCAAATCAGCTAAGTCAAATTGGAGCTGAAGACCAAATCTTTTGATGTTTTAATGCTACTTATATTAATTCAACATAGTACTTGTCAGTAAGATAACTAGTACTCTGGCACATGACCAAACTGTATATCCATAAGATGCCTGCAGCCTGGTACCTACAGACGATGGTACCTGTCTTTGGAGTAGTAAACATCATAACTAGAATCTATGTAGATTATAAGACCTCCTACATCAGTGAAAGAGTTAACTTTTGGAATGGGGTAGCTATGTGTATTTTCTCTTAGTCCAAGTTTTATTTCAGGTACCAACGAGTCCTTGAAAATCTGCAGGATATCAAAGTCTACCAAAGCAAAAATCTAGGATTTCTATATGTATTAGTGGAAATACAGAAGTCTCTTTCTCCCTCACTAAATTAGAATCTTTCCAGTTTAGAATTGCACACATTTTAAAGCTCATTTTGCTGAATAGTAATATATCCATTCTAGTTCTCTTATAGTTACTATTTGCCTGGGCTAATTTTATCCACCAGTTTTCTTTCAAACTATTTTTGCTTTTGAATCCGATATCTCTTTCTTAGCATGCTAGTGTATTTTTATTCTGTTTATCAGTCTGAAAAATCTTTGTTCTTTGATTTGGGTGTTCAGACCATATGCCTTTAACGCAATTACTGATAAGACCATAGCCAATTTGCCATATTTCTGGTTGTTTTTTATATGTCTCTTGTCTCTTTTTTTTTTCCTCTTTGCTTCTTTCATGGACTTCATTTTATTGCTTGTGATATAATGATCCCAGCCCTTTTATTTCTGGCAATATTCTTGCTCTAAGATTATTCATCAAATAACTCAGTCAATTTTGTGTTGTAAAAAAAGGTCCCATTTGCTATTTTTCTTAGAGATTATCATCCCCCCTACATTCTGGTCTCCTCCTCACTCGAAGTAATTTTTAATATTGAGGTAGATGGGTAATTTTCTTCTTTTCAACTCCAAAGGAAGGGAAAATATTTGATGACTATCACCCTTTTGATACTAAAAAAGTTAAAAACATAATAGCACATTTTAAATAGTGCAGTGCACCTTTTTATTAATTTTAAGCATGTCATTTCTGGGGTTTATGTGATGATGATTTTTAAGCTATTCATTAGGTTTTTAAAATTTTTCTACAACTATAAACATTCCTTTATTATTTTGTTATTTTATCCAGATTAAAAATGGATCCTCCTATAGAAACAACTCAAAATTTCAAAAGCTATTATAAAGAAGACAACAGAAATCAATTCCACTCTGAATTAACAATCACTTATGTTTGGTGATTATGCCTCTTGGCATGTGCCTATATTATCGCATTAATTTTATAATTGGAGTAAACAAAAACATCACAAAGGCCAAGAAGCAAATGTGTCTATGCTCTTGAATTACAAATGATAAATCCTGCTGTATGCCATTTATTTTCCAGCAAATACACCTGAATTTCTTTTAGTTTTTCCACCACATTATTTTCCTCGATAAGCAGTGAAGGGGTAGGAAAAACTTCTCATTTCACAATAATAAAAAAAGACAAGGCACTGAGGACTAATTTTCAGAAAATCAGGTACGAAAATTTACGAATAACCACTTCATATTTTAGTCTCTCTCTTTCAAAAAAATACCTTATTCACTCCCTCTATAGCACTATTTGAAAATGAAACTTTTTACAAAATAAATATGTATAATGACTATTAATATTTTTCCTTATTTTCTTATAGCTTTTATATATTAAATAACTTTATTTCTTAAACTATAGTTTGAATAAAGAAAATAATTACTTTTTACTTCTTGGTGTATTTTATGGCTCACACTATCATTGTGACATTATGATGTGTGAGCGTGTCTATGTGTGTGTAAGTTCTCATCCATGGTTTCTGGCTCAAAACATCCTTCCCTTGGAGGAAACTAGAATTTTTCTTCCCTAAGACAGATTTTTTCCAACCTTTCTGGCCTGGAGCTGGCCATAAAGGAATTTTCTGACTTGCCTTATCTGATCGTAGATCATAAGACCTTCCTTGTCCCAGAGGGTTCTTCCCCATACCAGTGAGGAAGCAAGGCTGAAAAAATCTGGACAGGCTTTGCTGGGTTTCTCCACACAGCCTATTAGCAATCCCACCTATGCAGTGAAGATGTCACAATAACACAAAAGTACAGGAATCAGAGAGCTTTAGGTAGCTGTACACAGAGAGGTTTGTGGAGGTCAATGCACCCAGTGGGGCATGGAAATTTTACACCTCTTCTCCTATACCTTGCCCTATGCATCTTTGCATCCTTTATATTAAACTAGTAAGTAAAAGTGTTTCTTGAGTTCTTTGAGCTGCTGAAGCAAATTAATTGAGCCTAAAGAAGAATAGTCAGTCAGTCAGAAATATAGGTAAAGGAACCTGAGGCTTGTGATTGCATCTTAAGCAGAAGTAGTTCTAAAGCAGGAGCAGTGTTGGGGATCAAACCTTCAAACTGTGGGATCTGACATTATCTCTAGGTAGGTAATGTCAGTACTGAATTGCAAGAGAAGACACACAGCCAGTATCCATGCTGCAGAAATGCTGCTTGTTGGTGAGGAGAAATATGCACACATTTTGAGATCACAAAGGTGAACTGTGTTGAGTGTGTAGTAGGAGAAACTGAGTTTGAGTTGTTTTTCCCTTCTGTATTCTCAGAGGTACAATCTATTACTATACAGCACATGATTTATTATTAAAATATCTCATTAGGAGAAAATATGTAGTGCTATAGATTCTGTGGTTTTTGTCTCAAGTTTGCAAGACACTAATCACATTGCTGTATCTTGTACAGGAAACACCACAGACACATTTAATTTGCTTTTTGTTCTTCCTTTTACAGCATAAAGTAAAAAACTGTTAAGGAGCTATAAAAAGATGGAGTTTGGAAGAAGTAACATCAATTTTGGACAAACTTTGTATTATTAAAAATCAAAGCAATCACATTCTTCTTTGAGTCATTTTTTTATTGAACATATAAAACAGGATGCTCATTTACCTTGACGTAAAATACACAGCTGATGCTTCAGATAAGATAAAATTATACAAAAATACGAAACCTCTGACTTCAAATCAGTGTACAGGATATGCCATATATAAGACTTTTAAAATTCTCTTTTACTCACTCAGCTATTTCTAATTTTATCAGCTTAAATGGCCATTACCTGATAACTAATTTCTTTTAAAAATGGATTTAAATTATATACTTCATAAATTACTAACATCAACAAAGTTTGTGCTTTTTTTTTGTTCTTGAGTGCCATCATAATGTTTTCTTCTGATGAGTCTACATTTGCATACCCTTACATTATTCATTTCATTGACTGAAGTATGAGGCAAAGAAAAAATGAGCAATGCAATATACTCTATGTTAGACCATGCAGAAAAATCTGGAGTAAGCATGATAGATGCTTCAGTGTAGTAGTTATTATATGCTATATTTTTCTTTCTAACAAAATGGATGCAATTGTTTACACTGTTAACAATTTACAGCCTGACAGTAGTAACACACAGTATGTCATCCCTAAGTGCTGATGTTTCCTAATCAGGAATGCAGAACCTCTGTTGCATCCTGAATAAGGGTACCTCAGTGGGTATCTCAGAAAACGCTCTTTCAGGTCTTTCATATAAAGTGGGTTCAGCATGAGGAAGCTCTGAGAGGTTGCTGACTTAAGTGACTATTTTTACTTGAGCCCCAAGGGTGTTAAATTCCCTTTGGAAATTAGCCCTGGGTTAATGCTTAGTTAAGAATACACTTGTGCTCTTATTTAGCCAACAATTTATGTGTGCAAAGAACATGTGTTAGTATTGTGGATGGGACATAAAGGGTCTCCAGGATCTTATGGTATTTTGAGGAGTAAGGATGTAGATACAAAAGACAAGTGGTTTTATGTTCTCCCCTGATTTATTTTCTGTTTCTTAAGGTACAAGATTGTGCTGCTTATGTGTGTATGATATGGGAAGCTGAACTTTGGCTATAAGAACAGTGGGGGTATTTGGAAGTTAAGCTTGTTCCTTTTATTATGGCAAAATGATTCATTCCCATCTGTTAGAAACAGGACTCCCTGGGTGCCAGATGCTATAGGGGACAGTAGGGCTGGTGCTTAGAACCTATACATGCTATTTTACCTTTTCCTGAAGGTTGTAACCATGAAATTTTTAATTTCAAGGTTAAATTGTAATATGAGAATGAAAGACATTATTTTTTCTACCAGATTATAATTTGACATTATAATCAATTGAACATTATTTTATTGTTTTTCCATTTGGGAAACAGCAGCATGTAGTTCCCTTTTTATTGTGGTGCTGAAGATTGAACCCCAGGCTTGTGTAATTTAAGTATGTGTTTAACACTGGATAATGCTCCCAGCCCTGCACATAACCTTTTGCAATGTACTTTGGGCCTTCTTTCATTGCAGAGTTAACACAGTTAATGTCCAGTGGTGGTTTCAGGATTTTTACATAGGAGCAGTTTAGGAATAGCTCTCCGATAGGAAGGCTTTTGTTCTGGTGTCATCTGAAGATTAATTTCCCCACCCCAGTCTACATGTGTAAGTCAAATAGAAATAAACGATTGGACACAAGTCCCAGTCTATGGCAAGAGGGCTACCCAAATTCCATACTTATTCTTTTTTTTATAATAACAATGTGATTTGAAACATTTAAAAACCAAGATTAATCATAATTCTTTCTGAGTGTCATTGGCAACTAGTTAATTGCTGTGAGCCCAGAGGAATCAACTTGAATATTCACTTACACTTAAAGACTGTTCTTTGCAATTAAATTGTACATTTCAGTTTTTAAAAAAATTGCATCAGATTGAGGATAAGGCCCTTCTCTTCAGTTTTTAGAATATGTCATGGGTGAGGAAGGGGATTGTGGAGTGCTAACAGAGAGCCACCGACTGGCTAAATCCCTGCAGCATCCCCACTGGCATTGTTGCTGATAGTATCCCTGTGGCTTGCAAATATTTTAAAGCTGATTCATGTCTTAAGCACATTTCACTTTATTCTTGCTACATGATACCATGTCAACTCTTTAGATCATCACTGAGAAAATAAGGTCAGAAATCCTGTATAAATGATCCATTCACTGAAGCTGGTGGTAGTCACAGCAAGCAACACATGTTTAATTAAGATGATTTTCCTACAAAAATCTTCCTGAAAATTTCCCTTGGAGGAGAAGACTGTTGGAGGGGGCTTGAGAGGTTTGGGAAATAAATGAAGAGTATATAGAAGACTATTTTTAACAATTGATTTGACAGAAGCATGGTTATCTGGACAATAATGTGACTGCACCGCACATATGAGACAGGCTCTGAGCCTGAGTTTTCTCTAGTTTGCTCAGTGTTGTGCAGGGCAACATGGGTGGTTCACAAGGAATGGGTGGTATATTCAACAAAAACACTGACCACGGGAAGCACATTTCAGGGAAGCTGATGGGCTGCCATTCAGTGTGCAAGATGTGGCCTTACATAGAATATGGGCAAGTCTTCTCACAGATTCTACTACAACCAGAGTTACACCATCACAACCCAACTAATTTTTTCTTTTGGTGTAAAAATATTTTTCCCCCAGTTGTACCTAGACCTTGATTTTATAAAAGGAAAAGAGAACACTCTATAAGTAAATACAAGCACACGAGTACACATATGTATTTACAGAAGCAATTGTTGTGGTTGTCTAAATATCAAATTTGATGAAATATTTCTTCCTACAAGCCTCTTTTCAAGCACACTTAACGACACAAAAAATATCCAGGGTGGAAATTGTCCATGAACCCAATGCTCAGAGAAATATAGTTTAACAAATTGTATTATTAAAGTTTAAATTGCATCACAGATGTGAAAATTATTTATAAAGAATGACCTCTCACTATGGTGCTTGCAGGGCTCTGGATTCCTTGAAAAAGTAAAATCTTTGTGACCACTGAGCAGGTCTTATTCTTACAGTGTGCCACTCCTCGTATTTTTGGGCTTTCAAAGCCTTCCTTTTTTCTGCAAATTCATAACATTTTATTAGCATGAAAAGAAAGTTACAATTTTAGAAACTGAAGAATGGGCAGTCAGATAGCATTTTGTCTGCTTGGCTAAAAATAATCAGCATTTTAGCGTGATTTGGAATATGATTATATTGTGTGTGTTGGTTATGAAAATAGACATGAGATGATTATCATCGATATTACTATCCATGTATCTATCATGTAATCTATGTATGAAGCCAGCTCATACTAGTTCCCAAGAGCAGACAGATTTCAAGGAATTTTGCAAGCTAATTATGATCATGTTGGTAGTCTGAAAATGGCTATGGAGAGAATATTTAAACCAGGGAGACTGAAAAATGACAAAATCAGAGATTTTTTCATCTTTGAGAGCAAGTCGTTAAATAATTTAGCAATATGCATTGCAGATTTGGTCAGGAAAGGACTTGCATACATAGTTTGGTTTGCAATGGAAGCAATAGACATATTTGAAAAGATCAAATAAAAGAAAAAGAAACTGGCAATTTATTTTAGCCCATGAACACATAAACAGTCTTAAATATTACCCACTTTTCTTATTAATTGTTTTAAAATAAAATGATAGAGTTTAGTATATTTCTTAATCATTGATATTATTTAAAACATTTGTACAAAGCTAATATAGAATATCTATTGACATTTTTGAAATCCAAACCTCTGCATTAATGTTTTATAGATAGTTGCAGAAATTTTAGCTAAACCTAAATATTAATAAAAATATTATGTAAAAAGTAAAGGAATCAAATTTTCTTGCTGGTATAACTTTTGTGTGTTTATTTTTAGCAAACCCTGTTATTTGGAGTTAATTTTGTTTTCCTTGTGTATCTGTATGTGTGAGCATGAATTTACAGACACTCATATAGAGACCTTGACAGATTATAATATTAGCGAAATGGAATCTCTGGTCTATTGAATATTCTACTAATAAACAGGAGGAATGACTTGTGATAAAAGTTGTGGCAGGTAAATGGTTGTGACAGCTATCTGATCCGACTAAACAGCTCTTCTTCTCCTTTCTTCAAAGTTCAAATTATGTTCATTGGCTTAAATTTAGTTTAAATATACATACTCATGTTGCAGGGAATGCTTTCTCTTAGCAGTGTGAATTTAAATTGTATGTTGGATTTACTTCTAAGAAGGTATTAAGTTGGGGGGGGGGTGCTCAGCAGGTGAGCAGTGGAGTTGTGCAACTTTAACTCTGAAAAAGAGAGACCCTGAGTTTTACTGGGCAAAGAAAAAATAGGTGGAGAAAAAAATAATTTCTGAACTTGGAGGGAGATAGCAAGAATGAAGGAAATTCCAAAAGAGGATATTTCTGAACAGTGACAGGCCAACAGGAGGACATCAAAGCTCTGGGCAAATTTACACTTTCTTCCAGCTCCAAATAACCTTGGAATCCCCCAGGCACATCCCTTTGGTTTTCAGGATCTTAGATGCAGAGGTGGAGAGTCCAGAGGTAGGCTGACTCTGAATCCTTAAGACAATTCCTCAGAAATTAGTTGAAAAAATTAAACCCATGGCATTTGATTTCTCTGTTGATTTGCTGTTTTTTTGAGGAAAGCAGAGCTTAGTACTTTCAGGATACTGACAGATTCCGGGTCTTGTGACGGTAAATCAGTTGGAGAAAAAGAGTTGTTGCAGAAGTATCAGCAAATTTTACAGCAGTAGTTCACACAAGCAGCTACTATACATTCATTCATTGTTATTTTCCTAAGAAACAGAGCAACCTGGGAGGTGATGCTACAGTGAAATCTAAGGAGCTATAACAATTACTTAAAGAAAAAGAAGTGCATACAAAGATGTGTTACCTTTCTGTTGGTTTGAGCTTTCAAACCCTAAATTCTTGAAAATACATTTCTGGGGTTCTATTTAAAAGCAGTGACTTCTTGGTAAAATGCAATACTGAAATAAAACGCTACCTTTTCATAAAAACAAGAAATATGTTTGCAAAATTAAATACTTTTAAAAAGTTAAAAATAAACATACTCTCACAGTTGGGGGTGGGGGTTTGAATGAACCCTGTACCAAGGAATTGAGGAAACTCTCAATTTGTGTAACATCCTAGAATCCTAAGCATTCAAAAACTGCTCAGCAAAGATGATTTCTCAGCATTTTAGGGGCATTTATTTATGCTGCCATGTTCTGTTCAGAAACCATTTTGGCATGTCCCCCACACAATGTGGCTTTTCATGACAATCACTGTTATGTTACACAAAACTGCTTTAAGTACTTTATTCTGTATAAAAGAGTTTTGTGTTTGAGAGCTCAGTGTCAAAATTAAGCATGTTCTGTAAAATTTTAAATTAATCCATTCAGTGCACTTGTTTTCTGTCCTACATGGAAATTCAGCTGAATTGCATTATTTTCTAATCATGTTGAAAAAAATAAAATAAAAAGCTTTCAACTACAGAATCTAACACAAAGTTGTTGAAAGTGTTCTCTGTGATTGAATTTGATTTTTTAGCCTATATTGTACAGGGATTCTATTGGGGGAAAATTTTTCTCATTTGAATTGGGAGAAGTGGTCTTTATCAGGTAATTCCTTTCATGGCTTTGAAAATGCTGATTGTCATGCTGAATTCGGATATCCATCAGGAATCTAGGGAAAAAGCTTAATTTACATTGTTTTGGAATTAAATGTTTCAATAATCATTAAGCTCTTTTTCTGCATTCCTTAAATACTTTAGGTGGTGGCATATTTGTTATTATGCAAATAAACATTTGAAGAGATTCTTCTTTAAACACTTTGTAGTTTTGCTTACTCAACAAAAATGAGTAATTACTTAAAAATATTTTTCATCCCTTTATAAAACAGATCTTTGTGGTACTGTTTTTATTGTTTTTGGATCATGCTTGATCTGTCATTTTCCAAGTGATTAATCCCTGATGGATTATGTAGAGTTATGTGACCATGTCTTTGATTATATTTATAAATTTCTTGTCACATATTTGAGGCAAACCTGAGGATAGATCATTGCAGAATTGTTATTTTTCTTCTTTTGTTAAATATTTCATTTCTCCATTTTCTTCTTTAGTGGCCTTTTGAAAAATCCAATCTGTTGAGAAAATACAAAACATAGCATAATTGATTTTTTTAAATTTAGGCAATAAATAATACTAAGTTCTTGGGATAGAATCTGATTTAATAACATTGACAATTCTGGGCAAACAGTTAATTCATATAATTGAGAAATATTTCTCATTGACCTATTAATCTTAGGTTTCAATAGAATGACTTTTATTAAGTTGCTCGATTTTTTTATCTCTTTAGCTTCTCATTGGTTAAATATTTAATGCCTCCTAGTGAGAGATTGCATGCAATCTTAGAGTTCATGGGAAATATTTTGGGAGACTACAAAATGCAGTTAGCTGGATTTGTTTCTATTTTGCTATCATCTTTTTTCAGGGTGGCTGCAGAGAAATGTTTATCAAATAATGATGGTCATCAGTGCAGGTCATGAGAGCTGACAAGGAATGTTATAGGGTATTGAATGCTAGGGAGATTTCTGAAGTATCTGGATTAACTCTAAATGTGTTATATCTGCCTCTAGGCTTGGCATGAGAAGCCTCTTGAAAGACCCTGTATCATTTAAACATGAAAATAAATCCACTAACTTTAAGGAAAATTTCACACAGTGGTAAATGTGAGTCATATTCATTATTCTTTGTTGATTTGGGGCATCATGCAAAGTTTTAAGTACTGTATTCATTTTCTATTATACAGACTAATAAAAATAAATGTGAGAACTGGAAGGGATTTTTGCAGTGATTTAATCTAAAATGCTTACTACAAAGAAAAGGAAATTAAGGGTCTAGAGTTGTAACCTTTAACTCCACAAGTTTATGATAAATTATGGGAGGGAACCATATATTTTTAAAATAATGACTGGACACTTGTGGACTTCGAGGGTACAAATGGTCAAAAATAAGGACTTTCAGTTTACAGAAATTTTACTGGGGGCTCATGTCTTCCTCCATGCTAGAATCTAGTTGATGGTAGACAGGGAAAGAATGACAACAGAACAAATAAACATGAAAACTGCGATACATTTGCTTTCTGGGAAGACATATTTCTCCTTCCCATTTCTTTCAGTCAGCTAGAAGAGCTCTGGATTCACAAACCATTAAGCTCCTTGACTTGTGTCTGCATGTCCTGACTCAAAATAAGTCAGCCCAGGTTTTTCACAAAAGCAGGTGGTGAATTTTAAGACTTTCTCTTTCTGCCTGGCTTTTAAACTTCTTTCCTTCCTCTCTAAAGCCCCTTTTCTTCTTCTTCTTCTTCTCCTCCTCCTCCTCCTCCTCCTCCTCCTCTTCTTCTTCACCAACTTTCCTTCTATACCCTAAACATCTTATTTTAAAACTTCTCTTATCTAGACTTTTCTACCCAGCCAGTTTTATAAACATTATTTTTCTTTAAGGGAAGTTTGGTGAGCAGAGTGGAGATTAAGAGAACATAATATTTAGCTGCAAACTGGACTGGGACAATCCTACCCAAACTCTTAGTAAGAAAACTAGTTTTCAGTTTCCAGACTTCCCTGGGTGCATTCACTTAGCTTTCCTTTTTATATTATTAATGATCCTCTTTATATTTGTTTAAAACCCTATTTGATGAAACAGTCCCTGGTAAAAAAGTAAGTGCTTAATGAATATATAGGAATGAATGTTGAATGAATAAATTCATAAAAATATGTAAGAGACTAAAAATGATGAGTAAGGATAGTCTCCTCATCCACTAGGAAATATGTTCCAAGACCCCCAGAGGATGCTGGAAACATAGATAATACTGAAAGTTAGATACACTATTTTTTTTCACTATACGTAAACACCCACAATAAGGAGCACAGCAAGAGATTAACAACCATTACAACTAATAAAACAATGATAACAGTACACTATAATAAAAATCATGTCAAAGTATAGCATAATGAAAAGTTAAAACATCTTATTATACTGTACTGGATTCTTGGAACATGGTTGACTTGGGTAACTGAAAGTGTTAAAAGGGAAATTATGAATAGGAAAGGACAAATGTATTCACCACCCCCAATAAGTTATATTGGGTGAGGAACAAAGCTGTAGGATTAATAAATAAATCATCATAGGTGAGCCTCAGGCATCCATGTGAATTGAGTGTGGAGAGGCATGTTTACTTTTTTACAGTTTCTCTGTGGACTGAATCATTTTACTTTACTGGGTACACTAGCCCTCAGCATTGGTGCCATATTTTAGGAAAAATTCCTCAACTTACATAAACAAGGTTCCTCCCATCAATCATGATGTATGTTAAGCTACAAAGATTTTATCAAGTTTTAATTTCTGCCATGTGAACTACAAAGACACAGATATGGAGACTGTATCTTTTGGAATGGAATTGCTGCTTCAAGCGGAAACAGTAAGCACTAAATAAGAACAAGTCCCCTTCCCTTCTACCTTAGAATCACAGATTTGTTTGCTAGGTCTCTCACTAAACCCACTGATCAAGCGAATCCAAAGTTCGTTAAACAATCTCCTTTGGGGCCTAAAATGAAGATCTCAGAAAAGATCAGAGTGTATCAACACAACCTTTATTGAATGGCAAAAATGTTCATTTTACATTCACTCTTTTTTTTTTTTCAAACTAGACAACAAAAACAGATGGATGAAGTTTGTGTTTGTCTGTCTTAAACTGAGTTTGAGGCCGGAGAGACCTATCCAAACATGAACTCTGGCTTTCCTTTTCCCTTGCCTGTGATGTCCTGAAACTCTTCAGGCAAAAGGCCTGCTCAGACTAGAAGATCAGGCTGGAGGAACACATTGCCTCACAGGTGCTTATGAGTGACACTTCCTGTATTTCAAGCACAGCCAGTAAACCAGCCCTTGGGTACCACAGTGTGGCAAAACCAGGTATTACAGCGAGAACACAGACACCTTGTATAGTAACAGGAAAGACTGGATATAGGAGGTGGTGGAGTAGTTTGCCTTGGGGATTGTGCTAAAGAAAAGTCATGGATTTTATTGATTGAATTAAATGCTACTGACCTACATCGTTAATGTGGCTTTGTCCATATTCTCCTCTTGAGAGTAACCCCCAAAGAGAAAGTCACTCATCATAGATGAGTTAGGAAGAGTTGGCAATTGAGTTGCTAATGAATTAGGAGCACTTGGTAATTCAGGGGGAGAGAAACTTTATATTTAAACTTTTCAGTCAAACAATTTTGTTGCTCATGTACTAGAAAAATATGAACATGTAGCCACAATCTGTCTTTTTAACATAGTTCAACCATTTAACAACAACAAAAAAAAAAAATAGGTAAAAACAGAGTGGCATGTAAGTTAAAAAAAACACATTAAATTCAACTTTTCTATGGAATTTTATTCTCTAGTAAATTTATCCTAAAAATATCACCTTGGCTTGTTTGAAAATGATACAAAGCTATTTAAAAAGTTTTACATATCTTAGCCTAAGCAAAACTCCTATGTAAATATCCAGATTTATCTGATAGAAAATGAATGGTTACTTAGTTTTACAAAAGGATTTGAACTAAACATCTGTGAAACTTTTAGATCTACCTTACATTAACTAAGTAAGTTCTCTATACCTTACTCAGGCAAAAATTTATTACTTAAAATATGTTATGCCTGTTTATACATTAAAAAGTTTTTGATTTTTATGTGGCATATATACATAATGGAATATTACTCAGCAATACAAGGGAATAAAATCATGGCATTTTCAGGTAAATGGATGGAGTTAGAGAAGATAATGCTAAGTGAAGTTAGCCAATCCCCAAAAACCAAATGCCGAATGTTTTCTTTGATATGAGGAGACTGATTCAAAGTGGGGTAGGGAGGGGGAGTGTGGGAAGAATAGACAAACTCTAGATAGGGCAGAGGGGTGGGAGGGGAAGGGAGGGGGCATGGGGTAATTAATGATGGTGGAATGTGATGGACATTATAATCCAAAGTACATGTATGAAGACACAAATTGGTGTGAATATACTTTGTATACAATAAGAGATATGAAAAATTGTGCCCTATATGTGTAATAAGAATTGTAATGCATTCTGCTGTTATATATAAATAAAAAATCATAAATAAAAAGATACATATAAATGTGTGATTAGAAGAAGGTTTATCTTAACCATGAATCTACTGCTTCTGTGTCCTTAGATTGACACAGGAATCCATTATTTTTCTTTTCCTATAAAAGTTTTATTCTGCTCTGTTTATAAAAGTAACATGTGCTTATTTAAGAATTTTAAGTATTATATGGTTCCCTCTAATCCTATCCTCTAGAGAGATTCTCTGGTATTTTGGATGTATATTACAAAATAAGTTTTTTTTTTTTTTTTCATTTACCACATGGGATCAAGTTGTGTATAACGTTTGAAATAGCAGGGTTTAAAAAAAATTTTGTGCTTGTAGATGGACGAAATGCCTTTATTTTATTTGTTTATGTTTCTATGGTACTAAGGATTGAATCCTGTGCCTCACACATGCTAGGCAAGTGCTCTGCCACTGAGCTTCAACCTCAGCCCCAAATAGCAGGTTTTTTTTTTTTTTTTTAAATCTTGGTCATCATTTTAATGCTTATTTCATTGCTATATAATACTGTATTCCACAGCATGAGTAAAACATAATGTATTTCACCAATTTACTGTTGATGGGTACAATACAGAGAAACTTTGACACTTACCTTCCACAGTGCCAATATGAGCAGCATTAACAGTAATAACCCAGCAAAAGCACTCAAGAGGATAACCCACAATGGCACTCTGCCTGGTAGCCCATCTTTGGATATTTGAATAGCAAGCTGAAAATTATTAAACAAGATGGTTAATGTCGATAAACACCTATGAGAACTCCCAGAACATTGAGTTCTTGCAGGCTATAATTTTCTACCAAACAGTGTACTTAATCTCATTACTACCTACAGAGAAAACATTGGAGTTCACATTTGAAAATGTCCTTCCTCTATTCTAAATCTCTAATGGGGTTAAATTTATTTGAAAAAGTTGTAATTTGTCTCTCAGAACTTTATACATAAAGAGAAAACTGTCAATGATCAGAATGCTCAAGGGTAGGAGTGGATTTCTATTTACCCCAGGGAGAACCAAAGTATTGTATGTTTTGAAGAATAATAATAGACGATTGCACTATCACAATCATAGTTTAGTCTGGGGCATCATAAGTCATTGAAATAAAAACCCGAGTAGTCTCCTTATTCTAATACTCATGTGGTATAATTCTAATCATATGAAAAGATAATTACCAGACAATAAAATGCACAGATTTCAAGTATATAATAAAGTTTTAATATCCACCTCTAATGTGTTTTTATTATACCATACTTCTCTTCTTCTCTTCCAGATGAGTTAGCTCTCAGTCATCTGTAACTTAGAGCTTAACTCAAGAAAAGTGTGAAATGGATCATTTTCAGTGCCCTGGCTATGCATACTCTCTCAGTGTGACACACAACCTCAATGAAACTTGTCTGCTCTGTGTCCCATCCCTTAGGCTTCTGAAAAAATTAGCTTATGGTAGATATCAATGGCTAATAATAGCTCAAGATTCTGTATTTGCTTATCAGAGAACATTTTAATTTCCCAACCTACAGGAGGATTAGGGTAGAAAAGGAAAGTAACTGGGGCAACATTTGCATATGGTGGATATTAGTCAGAATCCTTCCAGTCACTGCTGGTAGGTCACTACTGATGAACTGGGACACAGAGCTGGAAAGAACAGAGATATACCCAGAATCAGGCCACCAGGACAGACTTTAAACACATCTAACGCGATCCCTTGAATTTACAGATGTAGAAGCTGTCATATGAATATGATCAGTGGCTTCCCCAAGATCACAGTTACAAAATGATCACTTGAGTAATTTTATCAATGTAGGTAAATTTTTACATTTTTCCTTTAGGCTGAAGCATAGAATAAATATCTCCAGGGGGAATTTTTAACGAACATTTAGGGGAAATAAAGCTATACAATTTCAACACAACATATTTAGGAATCAAATGCACATTTTTGCAATATAATCACACTCATATTTTCCAGGTTTTAGTGAAATGCTGATTTTGTGTGGAACAACTTTGCTCTTTACATTGATCAGGCTAAGTGCTCTATATGAAGTGCAAGCATTATGTACAAGTATTTTATTTTTCCTTAAGGGTATATGTTTAGCAGTTCGTTGATATTGAAATAGTTTGAAATAGGTGATGTTACAAGAATAGCAGAATGGCTCGGCTTGTGTGGTGCTGTTTATCCATATAGGGTATTTAAACCATCCCAGGACAAGGGAAGGAAGTATGCAGAGGTGCCTTTGTTCATAACAGCACAATTGTTCTTATTTCACAAAATGAGAAGAGAAAAAAAATTCAAACTTCTGTTTTTACCAAGGACTCAACCTGAATTTTCATTAGAATTTGCCATCTCATTTTTGCTTCCAATTTCCAAATGCCTTAATGAAGAAAACTTTAACAATTTCATATGTATTCCTGGACAGTATAAATGTACTTTCTATAAAACAGAAGTTACTTTTTCAGGTGTGCTCTTCAGCTGTCTGCTACATTTTGTAATGCCAGGTTTTAAAGAGGAAAGTCACAAATATATCATTTGTTATCAAGATGAAAGTGAAAACATCCATTTACTGTGCTAGTTAGAAGCAATAAAGTCAAAGGAGGCATCTTAGTTGTAAATATCTTGATTTCCCCAGTCTCTTAGGAGGAAGAACAGGACTGAAATCCCAATTGACATCAAGGTAGTATGAAGCAAACAGTAAGTCACTTAGTGACAACAGTAGCAGTCACTTTACGGGTCTACAAGAAATTATAAGTCATGATGTCACAAAATATGGTGTGAAATACACTGTGTTCAAAACTTAGAGCTATACTTACCTCTCTTTTTTGGTTGCTACTACTTAAAACTAGTGATGTATTTTCACTCTGAAGTTCTCCTCTTACTGTAAGATTTAAGCTGGAGAAATGTGTCTGTAAAGCAGATTAGATTTGTTTTTAACACATTATGCTAATTAAAATGATAGCTAGTCATGCTTGAGCAGTCCAATTATTAAAGTTGTGATTTTCCCAAGAGATTAAAAACACTGATTTTGCTAACTTCCAAATGGAGTTGGTAGTATCCACTGATGACTGGGTACTTACCCTTCCTCCTTTGCCTCCCCAAATTCTCATTTAGATCCTTGTTTTTGAGTGGAAAAAAAATTCTAAATAATTTTCATTCTGAGTTTTCCTTAGAGATATGAACCTCAAATTCTGCATACTTTTAATGTAGCCAGTCATGAAATAGCTAAACTCAGATAGTAAGATTTATATGTAAGATTATACATGAAATTGCCAGTATTCAACAGTTCTTGACTTATAAAATTAGCAACTTAATATGATCAAACCTGAAAACATTTTTGAAGAATAAACTACATACTTCTCGAGAGAAATAATACAAACTACAATAAACTATGTTTTAAAGTAGCTTGTTATCAGATGGATTTGGCTTTTTCAGGGGTTAAAATACCCTTCAAAATTTATTTTCATGGAATGAAACTGATAAAATGCAATGAGTCCTTATGTATGGAAGCTCTATCCTTCGTTAGTGGTGTCAAGGATTGTCACTCATTGGGTTCTTAGTAAGATCAATGCAAGCTTCAGTAATGGAAAGGTATTCATCTTCTATGAGGCAAAGAAAAGAGTCATGTAATTGAAGAAAGTCTATATCTGGAAGGGGAACATCTGAAGATTACTTAGTTATTAGCAAACAGGAAGATGAAACTCACACAGTGGCTAAGTAGACCTGGGCTTAGATGGCAGCCTTGGAGACTTCTAATCTCACATTCTTTTTACAGTAGTACTGTGCTTTGAACAAACACACATGTCAAACAAATATTTCTTGATGTGAATCAATGATTGCAAAGATCAATGTGAGTACTTACTTTTATAAAAGTTGGTTTCCACAGGATCAGTGAAACATTAACTTGGCTAATGTCAGAAGGCACGAGATTACATGTGATTGTAGCAAGTTTACATGTACTGCAGTCCTGTTGTAATGTTCAGAGGTTCAAGTTAGTGTTTTTACCAACTGACCAAAGACACTATATTAAAAAGATTTCAGATGGATATTTCTAGTTGATATTGAATTTATTCACTCGGAAAATCTAAGGTCAAAATAGCACTTAATTTACCAGAAGTGTGCCTCGTTTGAGATCTTCAGATTTTGATATAATCATTTTCTTTCCAGAGTTGATACCAAGAGGATCCTCAAGGCTGTGGGGTCTGCAGTTTGCATTCTAAGAAATAAAAATATTTCTTTTAAAAGAAAATGACAAATGTGAAGGGGAAAACAAGTTGGCACTGTAATGTGAAGAATCTGTGAATAACAGCCATTGCCATGTATTAAAGATCTACCTTTCCAAGTGTACAGGACTGAAGAGGTTGTTCAGCACCAGCCATATATTCCCACGCCCAGATAATGATTACTGTTACCATGGCACTTTTGAATTGTAATGGATTCAAGTAAGGTTGCTATGGAAAAGAAAGGATTCGAGTAGCATTTGCTATTTTATAAATAACACACTCAATGGTTGATTGTTTTCTTCAAAGATTAGCTTGTAAAGTCCCATAATACAGAAAGAAAAATTTAAAACTCTACTGTGAAAAAGTGTTAGCATTTCTTCTTCATTGTGATGGCTCATATGATGACTTAAGAAGCAGAATGGAAAGGGAAGAACTTTCATTTTATTTATGTTTTGAATACCTACTCACTAAAGGAAAGACATTTAATTTATGTGGGAGACAGATATAAATGCCAGCCCTCCAGATATTAAAATGCTGCTACTTTAAGATAGTGATGTTTGCATCATCTTTCTGGACTTAATTTAATAAGTCTAATAAACCTTTTGCTTCCGAAGAACTCTCTGCTTTTTTGATAAAAGGTAATAAGGATAAAAATCCATAAGTAGTACAAAAACTACACAATTTTGCTTTCTCTCTCTAAATTGTCACAACCCTGTGTTTTTGGATTAAAGGGGAATTCCAGAGGCTTATTCTTTCCTTGCCCTTAGGAAAACATTTAAATGATTACAGTGCTACTTCTTGCTTATGGGAATAGCTTAATTTTATAAGATGTGTGAAAATAAGTCAAACCCTGAAATCATGTATTCATTAATTTAATACTTTGATTTTCTATGTTTTAGACACTATGCCATAGTAACTCCTATGTAGTCTCATTCAAGGATATACATACAAAAAGGAGTACAAGGAATGGAACCACCATTTGACCCAGCTATTCCACTTCTCAGTTTATACCCAAAGGATTTAGAATCAGTATACTACAGTGATGCAGCCACATCAATGTTTATAGAAGCTTAACTCACAATAGCTAAACTATAGAACCAACCTAGATGCCCTTCAACAGATGAATGGATAAAGAAAATGTGGCATATATACACAATGGAATATTACTCAGCCTTAAAGAAGTATGAGATTATGGCATTTGCAGGTGCATGAATGGAGCTGGAGAATATAATGGTAATAAAATAAACCAATCCCCAAAATCCAAAGGCCAAATGTTTTCTCTGATATGCAGACACTAACTCACAATAAGGGGCACAGGAGGGGGTGGGGGAAACTAGGGAAAAATAGAGTTACTTTGGATTAGGTAGAGGGGCATGAAGGAAGGGGAGGGGTATGGGGTTAAGAAGGATAGTAGAATGAATCAGACATTATTACCCTATGTGCATATATGACTACATGACCCACCGGTGTGATTCTAAATCATTTATAACCAGAAGAATGAGAAATTATACTCTATTTATGTATAAAGTGTCAAAATGCATTCCACTGTCATGTATAACTAATTAGAACAAATAAAAAATAAAACAAAGAAGAGTACAATATTACAATTGTTTGGGATAAGTGAGTTAACAATATTGCACTATGTTATGTGCAGCTCTGCTTATTTAGGAAGCATTAACAAGTCTCTTTGCAAGAGTTATTTGACACCATAAACAAACTTAAAGGATAACACACATTTCAGGCATAAATAATTATTTAAATATACTCTAGCACAGTGAACAATGATCCTAAGAAGATATGCCCAAGTCCTAGTACTCCAAACCTGTGAATTTGACTTTATTTGGAATTAGAATTTGCAGATGTAATTAAATTAAGCATCTTTAGATGAGAACATCCTAGATTTCAGGTGGGCCCTAAATCCAATGATAGTATGCAGAAACAGAGACAGAAGAGAATGGGCCCATGTGAAGACAGAAACAGAGACTGGAGTTAGGTTTCCAGAAGCCAAGGAATGCCAGGATTTGCCAGCAGCCACTGGAGGCTAGGAGAGATGGCATAGAACAAATTCTCCCTCAGAGCCTACATAGGTCAACAATGTCAATACCTTGACTTTGAACTTCTGGCTTTCAAAATGGTGGAAGAATACATTTCTGTAAATTTTAATCACTAATTTTTGGTAATATGTTATAGCAGCCTTAGAAAATTAATACATCTATGGAGTAACCAGTGGAAGTTACTATTATTTTTAATTTTCTGAATGCCTCTTCAGATTGCTTTGGTAAAACTCCTTATTACAAGTGGCCTGCAGAACAAAAGGCTTAATACAAGTTGGAGAGGTAACCGTAATGAAGTAATTCTAAGGCACATATGACTTACATCAGAAGAAGACCAACCAGTCGGGTACAGCACAGGGTAACCATCTGACGTCAAATTGGGAAATGAAATTGACAGCGTAAGTCCTGGCAATGGAAAATGTCCTCTTTTTTTAATCTATGGGGGGAAAATAGAGAGGTGATCATTTCTTTTTCTTTCAACTGCATCCTCTCCATTTTCTGTAGGACTATGGTTTTAAATTGATGGATTAAGATGTGCAATAATTTGAATCCCCAAATGAATGCAGTTTTTGTCACTATACGGAGAAATAACTTACTAAGCAAGAAAATAAGGATGTTTTATGGTCCTATGGATTAGCTACAATCATGTTATTTCTTTATTCTTCACTCTTAAAATAATACCGGGATTAATAAAAAATCAAAATTGAAAAATCATCTCTTGTCACACCTGTTGTACTTTGTATTGTAACAACTTTTTTTTTCCTTTTGTAGCTGTGAAGGAAAGAGACCATTTGCCTGATATAATTTACAGTATGTTTGGTTTTCTTCATCCAGTTGGTCATAATCGCCCAAAGCCATAAGTCACCCTTTACCCTGGCTCAATGGGCTCTGCCTCCACTGCCCACAAACCAGATCCCCATATGCTTCCCTTCACAGTTCAGTCCCCAGATAGAACTATCGTGTCACTGGCTGTTCATAATCTGGACTGATGAGAGTCCGATTGACTTTCATCTTAATCTGTTTTTAACCACTACTGCAGAATTCACACTATACCATCAGTAATGAGGGCAGCTTATTGGGAAGGATGGGCAGGATGATGTTCAGCAGAAAGCTGGACCCTATCCAGAATCTCTGTCCATATAGAAGGTACAATTGGGTTGTGACCACCCCGTGCAGTGGCCCTTCTTCCTTCCACACAAGCATGAATTCTGCATCCTAAGTCCTCTCTGTGATCTCTCTGTGAAACTAAGAGGAGGAGCCACTTGGTTTCCATGGATAGATGTCAGAAAATCCACAGACCTACCTCACTAAGTCTCCTAGACCAAGAGCTACTCAGATCTGGAGCAACTCCCTGTGGGGCTGACGATTAAACATATCCTTTAATCCTAGATTCTGGAGATTCCCAATCAGCTGTGCCTGGCCTCTTGAAAAGGAACATGCTCCCCAACTCTATCGTATGAAAATATGCCTGCTCTTGCCTCACATGGCAATTTCATCTGTTTCCTGATATTTGGTCTGAAATCATGAATTCTGTTATTATTACTTGTTTTTTTTTTTCTTACTAAAAGTGTTCCTTGTGAAAACATTGAAAAAATACTGAAAATGAGCAGAAAATAAAAGTTTCTTACAGTTAAAATACCTTGGAAATATTTTAGTGTATAAGTTATCTGCTTTTATTATTTGCATGTAATTATATTTTGTAAAATTTTCATCACATAAAAACAAAATTTTCTATACTATGTAAAATTTATTATGATTGGCATTTTGAGAATATGATTGTTAATAGCTAAATAACAACCACAATACCAATATTTGTTGCTAACTACATGACACTCTACTGTGCTAATGATCTTATTTACATTGTTGCTCTAACCTTTTAAAATACCCTAGGAGGTAGATTACCTTGTCTTTATTTTATCTATGAGGTAACAAGGTTAAAATGAGAATAAAATAATTTACAAGGTCACAGAGCTGGTAAATAGCAGAATTTGGGTTTTGTACTCAAAAATGTACTCTCTAACATATATATAATAAGCTGTATCTCAAATGAACATATCAAATTCTCTTCACTAAATACATGGTAATTTAAGTAATCTCATAATTTTAAGCTTTTAGATTGTGTCCTGGTTTAATTTTTAAACTATTATAAATAAATTATTAAGAACATCACTGAAATCCTTGTACACCAATTAGTTCTTAGGGAAAATTCCTAGCAATAAGTTTACGGGTCTCATCTAAAAATGTTCTCTCATTTTCATTCCATTACTTCAGTTCTAGAATTTATCCCAGAAAAATAATCAGAGAGACACACAGTGATTTATGCTTAGGGATATTCTTAACAATGTTATTTCTATCAATATGATTTATGATAATTAGGGAGTGCCTATTTCAAATCTCAACCCTAATAAGTTACAATATATAAAGATCTACAATGTTCAGTTTTTCTAAAAAAAAATGTTGTTGTGTTAGCTATTTCTCTTATCCAGGAAAAGTAAATAAGGCTACAGAAAAATTAAAAGCTATACTCTGGGCTTGGCCTTCATGCCAATTCCGAGAGTATAGCTTGTCACAACAATTTCAGAAAAGAGTGCAAATAAAAACAATGAAATTAATCTTGAAAGTACACCTTGTTTCTATTTTGTAAGAGAACTTCCTTTTTTATTATTGGCAATTACCAAAAATACTGGGACTATCTTCATTTCTAACTAGGTTGCATCATTTAATTGAGCATTATTTTTCCACAATATTAACTTAAGTCCATATCTGTAAGTAGGTGTTATGTAAAAAAAAAACAAACCCATGATTGTTTGCTACAGTGGTTAAGAAAGGTTTGTTATGAAGAATTCTATAGGAGAAATAGGTGTAGTAGTGGAAATCATCACTTAATGGGGTGGTAGTACTGTTATGTTTGGATGTGAGGTGTCTCCCAAAAGCTCACGTGTGAGACAATGCAAGAGGGTTCAAAGGGGAAAGGACTGGGTTGTGAGAACCTTGCCTTAACCTAATTAGTGAATTAATTACCTTTTGGGATTAATTAAGTGGTAATTTAAGGCAGGTGGAGTATGGCTAGAGGAGATAGGACATTGGGAGCATGGCTTTGGGGTATATATTTATATCTGGCATGTGGAGTCAGTCTCTCTCTCTCTCTCTCTCTCTCTCTCTCCCTCTATCCTTTCTTATCACCATGTGAGCTGCTTCCCTCTGCCACACTCTTCCTTCATGATGTCCTGCCTCACCTTGAACCCTAAGGAATGAAACCAGCCTCATATGGACTGAGACCTCTGAAACTGGGAGCCCCTAAATAAACTTTTCCTCTTCTACAGTTCTTCCAGTCAGGTCTTTCAGTCATAGCAGTGAAAAAGTTGACTAAAACAAGTGCCAACATCATTAATTTACAGTGTAATGCATATAAAGGGTAGTGGTGTGCAGAATGAGATATTTATTGAGTAGAGAAAAATGTTACAAAGATAATTTTAAAATAATCAATTTCTGTAATAGTCATAATTATTAAAAATATGTTTTTCTCAGTCATACTAAAACTAAACGAATTCTACAACTTGTATTTAAGAATTAAGACTGGACTATTAATAGGTAGTATCTATTAGGTTCCATGGTTTACTTTTTTCTAAGAAGTCATTCTAAATTACTGTGCCTTATTGTGAGAAAATTAGAACATAGGTTTTTAAAATTGATTTGAAGTATAAGTATCAATTTAAATAAAAGATGTTTTAAAATAATGAAATTATAAAGAAAAATATTCTTGGATCTAGAGATTAAATGTTGGAACTGTGTTTATTTTAATATGTGTGTTTGTTAACATCTTAAATCATAAATTTACAAATAACATTTTTAGGATTTTTACTCAGAGATAATTTCTTACCATATAGAATATGTTAATTTCATTTCCAATATCCTCAGTAGAATTAATAACTTCAGGGACAGTCTCATTGGCCGCAATTGAAATGTGGTATTCACTTGCAGAGCTTTAAGGAATTAAATTAGAAAAATAAAATGCAACAAATTAAACATTTATTTAGCTTTATTCTCTTCTTTCTTTATAACATGTCATCACAAAAATTCTTAAAAAGAGTTTAATCAAAGAGTAATACTTCTACTCAAAAATTCAAAGTCAAATTTTTAGGAAGGTGAGAATAATTATAAAATTTAGTTAAATAATCATTAATGCTTATTTGCTAAACTATCTATAACTTTTTAAATAAAATTTCATTGTTGAGTGAAAAGTTTCTATGAATTCACTACTATTTATATTTAGTGAAAACAACAAGCTAAAGTTTGGAATTTTTAGTAGTGTGAAATTTTAAGCAGGATTGACAAAATGTTTACCTTTTTACATTTTAAAATCCTATATTTAATACTAAAACTTTAAAGTTCACTCTCCTCCAACATATTATCATGGTCTTTGGATCAACTTGGTGGAACTTAAGAATATATCTTAAAAAGCACTTTAATGAAGAGAAAACAAAAATACTTATAAGTGTTGATCAAAATTTTATTTTAAATAAGTGGAAAAATCTTATGAAAATCTGTGTACCAAAAGAAATAGATACAACACAATAAAAAATCAGCCAACAGAATTTAAATGCCAAGAAATATAAGCAAAATCTATGAGTATATTCTATAATCGTTATGTTTGTGGTATTTTATTAGTTAAGACAAAATTCCATAGAAAATGAATTAACAAAATTTTTAGACTAAACTGAACTTGACATTGATTCTTATGCATTTTGTATGCATTGCACATATTTAATCAGCAAAAGCTTGGAGTTCTGCTTAAGCAAGGGAATTTATAGGGGAAAGTTTGCCAATATGATTGATATTTGGATAGATAAGAAGTTCTTTTAAGAGATACAATGAATTATGAATAGGGAAGGAATAAATGTCTCATCAATGAGATATGCTATAATCTTGTATGTTTGGAATTGGCAGGCTTATAGAATTCCACGGGATGAGAAGTATGGCCAAGAATTATGTTGCTGACTCCTCAGAAAACACTGTATTTTGTGAAGGTCTTCTAGATCTTTGGCTTGCATTTAAGAGTTAAGACTGGATTGTTAATATGATCCAGTATTACTGCACCTCATATTTTGGGGTATTTAGCATATAGGTTCTGAAATGTTAGGGTGCATGGCAATTACCTGGAAGATTTATTTAACATGAATGTTGGGCACATCCTCAGAGTTTCTGACTGGGGTGGGGCTTGAGAATGTGACTCTCTAGTAAGTCCCCAGGTGATGGTATGTTCTTGGCTGGAGACCACACCTCTAGAAACACTGGGTCAATAGAAAAGCATTGATATATAAATGTGATTTCCACCTACCTGTAAAATTGTAGTCCTACTTCATATTTTACTGGGATAGAAATATTTGCTTCATTATCAAAAAGAGTTTCAGGAGGTTCTTCACTGTCACTAGAAAATGCAGAGTATATTCAGACAGGTCATTAAACTGTTGATTATTGAGAGACATTTCTAAGCATTTGAAAGACAAGCTTATATTGGCAAATAAAAGCATAAAAGAATAGAATTATTGATTTTTTTAATCAGGGGGAGGAGGGAGATCAGAGAGGGGTACTATTAAAAGTTTCCAAGTTGATGCTGATGTGAAGCTACAGGTGAAAAACCGCACTGATTTAATCCCTTATTTCTCAAAAATTCTGTGATAATAATAATGAGGAACCCCAAGTGTAATTGTTAAAAATGCACAGATTGGTGGGCTTCTCTTCTACAAATGTGAATTTAATAGGGCTAAGTTGGAGCCCAAGAATTTGTGTTTTTGCCACAAATCTCCCTGATTTATTTATCATAGATGAGAACTTTGCAAAGGACCACAACTAGGGTCACACAGCTGAGTAAATCTAAAATCTTGTTTTCTCCTTTATACTCTTTCCATACTAGGTACATATTATTTGTAAAACACTTGTTTAGTACCTTGATTTTGGTAATAATTTAAACTATGTATGTAAACACACACACACACACACACACATATAGGTACACACATAAATGCATGTGTATATCTCATTAGTCTTATATTAGTGCTTGTTAAAAAGCATGTATAAGTGATAATACTTATATGGCCAGAGAATGAAATTGGTCTTAGAAGTTGGTACGTTTGCTGAAATTATTTAATCTCTCTGTGCTTTAGTTTCTTCATCTATAAAATGAAGATTTGAGCATTAAATGATTAATAGATGGTGATTAAATGAGTAAGAAGTTTAAAGAGCCTAGGACTGTGCCCAGGACAGAGGAAATATCCCATAAGTATTATATTTCATTGTTATTATCACACACACACACACCTGTCCATCAACTGACCAAGAACCTAGCACACTGTTTTCCAGTATGTGCAACAGCATCTTTTAAGGCCTCTGCTTATTCCCAAGTGTATGTAGTGGCTTTGTGTGAGCAACAGGGGAGCAAAAGCCATGCGCTACCTTAAATTATAGGTACTAGCATCACTGAGCTTTTACTGTGAATGGCTCCCTTCTCTCTAATATATCCCACAGTGTAGCTAAATTCATCTTCCTAAGAAGTAGCTCTGAACAAGTGACTTAACTCTTTGAAACTTTCTGAATCCTTAAGACCTATTCAGTTAAGAAAAACATGCCTCTTACTCATAGTAAGTCTCTAGAATAATATGCTAGGATGCACAGTTTAATTCCCATTACTACATGATGTATTACACATTCTGCATATCTCAGCTAAAATTGATTACCAGTATTCCTCAAATTGATCAACTGGTTTGCCTTTGAGTTTTCACTCAAACTGTATATTTTGCCTATAAATGTTCTACCTAATTCTATTCACCAACATCTCTGAAAAAATGCTTTAAGGTCTTCCTGATTTTAAATTTTCTTGATAAAATTTTTTTTTAGTTTGTCATTGCTAAGTAGATATAATTTCACCCTTTGTTTTTTCTGTAACACATGAAGACATGGTTTATATTTCTATAATGGATTTCCTTTACTCTAGCATGTATTATAAAAATTTTTATACTAATCTTAACCTGTATTGTAATATTCACCCCATAAGGAGGTTTGTGCCTGTAGTAATTTTTGTAATTCTTGCACTGATTAACCCAATATCTTTTCTATAATAGATGTCAAAGAAATATTTGTTGAATTGAAGTGAAATGAACATAGAGAAATAATATATCCATTAATTCATTTGTGTCATCTACTCAGGGCTATGGTTTGGATAAGAAGTGTCCTCAAAATGCTCCTGTTAATGCAGGACTATTTAGAAGTGAAATAATTGGATCGTGAAGGACGTGACCTAATCAGTCCATTCTAGTTTGAAAGGACTGGATGGGTAGTAACCATAGGCAGGTGAGGCATGGCTGGAGGAGGTGGGTCACTAAGGGTGTGCCCTAGAAGGGTTGTTCTTCTTGTGGCCCTTTCCTCCCTGCTCCCACTTTCTTTCTCTTTCTCTCTGGGCTTCTTGACCCCATAATGAGCTGAGCAGCTTTCCTCCACTGGGACCTTTCCCCACATGAAGTATTATCTCAATTTGAGCCCAGAGCAATGGAGTCAGCCATCTCTAGACTGAGACCTTGGAAACCATAAGTCCCAAGTAAGCTTTACTTCCTCTCAATTGTCCTTGTCAGGTATTTTGGTCACAGTGGTACCAGTTATTCCCCATCTACTTAATTATTAGTTACCAGGAATAAAGCAACAGAAGATAGAATTTGTTCTCAATGAAGGCGGTAAAATGGATAATTACACTTAGAAGAAAGTTAATCCATTCTTTTAATTTCCTTATTAGTCCCCCCCCCCTTTTTTAGCCTATTTGTTCTATGATAACTTTCAGAAGCTTTGACTGATTTGGATAAAATTTATAAAGCACAAAGGGTGTCAGAAAACTTTAATGAGTCAGTTGATCTTGAAAGCCAGTAAATGTTTCAAAATTAGATCCTGTAAAATTTTAAATGAATTTAAAAAAAATTTGGCAGATGTAAGTGTTGTTGAATTGAAGTGAAATGAACATACGGAAATAATGTACAGTACAATATACATTATATATATTGTATAATATACAGTACAATAGTGTAACCAATAATTTAATCCATTTAATTAAATTATTTCTATTAAATTTTTTTATTTTTGTAAATTATTGATAGTATTTTTGTGAAATAAAATGGTCACGGTTTTCTACTTCTAGTGATCTTATATAGGTTATAAGGAGCTGCTAGCGAGTCTCTAAAGCCAAATATTCTAATTTCATGAAAGAAATTATAGACACACATATAAACACGTTCATACACACATATACCAACCTTGTTGTACTTAGATGAATGGTCATATTTTCCGTGAGGTAAGATGTATTAAATTGAAATAATATTTTGAAGGTTACCTATGAAATAAAAATATGTATCCTCAGTGACAGATAATATTTATTTTGACTCAAATATTCAGTTTGCTTAAATGCATTACCCAAATTTAAATTATAAAATTTATATCTTATAAAATAAAACTTTATCCCATCTCAAAAATATATAGAATAAGATATGACACACATGTGTTTTAAAATGTAAATATGTAATATGCTTTGCATATTGCTGTGTTCTGAATATTTGAATTCTCTTAAACTAATGTGTTGAAACCTAATGACCAATGTTATTGTATTAGGAGATGGGGAGGCAGTTAGGTCCTGAGAACTCGCAGGAATGGGACTGGTGACTGTACAAAAAAATCATCCAGAAAGCTGCATTTCTCTATCTGAGGATGCAATGAGAGGATTCCTTCTCTGACTGAGAATTGAACCCTCAATAGACAGAATTTACCAGTGTCTTGATCTTGGATTTCTCAGCCTTCATAACTGTGAGAAAAATATTTCTCATTTATATGGTACACAATTTATGGTATTTTGTAATAGCAGTCTAAATGGACTAAGACATGAAAAACTATTGACTTTATGCACTTTATTGAAATATATTAGTAAAAATATATTAGTATAAAATATTTATACTAACCATAAATCATTACCACAAAGACACATTCTATTTATTATATACCATAGTTTACCAGATCACAATGACAAAAAAAAATAATGCAATTGTGAAATGGTCATAATTAAAACTTTTTTAGTATGGAAACTTTAAATACCAGCAGCCATCTACACACAGTCATTATCAAATAGGGAAAAAAATACTTGGATTCACTAGTTTGATATTGTAAATTTTTTTGGACTACTAAGGAATAATAAGAAACAAATGATAAGAAAAGCTTGGCTATTTAGAAGAAAGCAAATTATAAGGAAAATGAAAAGTTTTGTTTGTAATAGATTGTATAGTTAAAAAATACATAAGAAGAATTGGAAAATGATTTTGCTATACAAACATTCTGATACAGGTAATTGACTTCTAAGAAAGTTTGCCTGAATGTATGGACTACATAGTGTATGACTCTTAATAAACACCAACAGGAAGACCAAAACCAAAATTATTTCTTCAAAGAAATATGTCACTTTCTGTATAATAGTTCAAGAGAACTCATAAGTAATGCTTATAAAATTATATTTATCAAATTCAAAGTTAATCTTGTTTTATGCTAAAGTATTTTAGAATTTAGTCCAGCAAAGTAGAAAGTCCAAAATACACAATTAATAGAAAATACCCCAAATTTTATCTTTGTGATTCAGGGAGAAGTTTTGATTTTTAAAGCCCTGGTAATCAATTTAGGTACCATTCACAGAAAGAAAGGCGAATCTCAAAGATCAGATTTACTTGGTTATACCACATCATGTATGAAGTTCTCTTTTATATTTTCTCCTTCTACATATTTGACTTACATTGAAAATGGAGGAACAAAAAGTTCCTCTAAGAAGAAAAATGTCTGAAGTTTTATCCTTTCTTTAAAATAGAAAAATTCCAGTAGACCCTTGGCTGGGTAGGCTTGAACTACAATACACAAAGGGTCAGATTATCTAGGTGGCTCAGCTAGAGCCCTCTCTTTCCTTAATCTCCATGAATAGTTTTGGCATGTGAATCTTCTTTGCATTCTTGATGAGTCTTTGCACCTTAGAGAAGATTCTAGAAAAGCAGTGAAGTGAAAGAAACTGCTTATTGCACATCACCTGATCTTAAAATGCTTAAATGGAAAATCTAGATCTTTTTTTTTTTTTTTTTTTTTTTTTTTTCTTCTTTTGAAAATCTAGATCTTATAATCAAAGTGCATTCTAAGCATAAAGCCAAAGTCAAGATGGATTTTAGATTTTCTTCCCATCTCTCTACGGATAGCATAAGAGATACTTTGATTCACATTTGCGCCCTAAGCAGCAAGGAATTGCTGAATACAGGGAAAAAATGGTTAAGAAATTCAGTGGAGGAAATGAATAGTCTTTTCTCAAATGTTTTGGGGTCACTAGATATTTTTAAATAAAGAATGCATTGGACTCATTCCTTACATCCTGCACAAAAGTTTCTCAAAATGGATCGTATACCTAAATATAAGAGCTAAAATTATAAAACTCTTGGAAGAAAACATGAAAAACATTCCTGACCTTGGATCAGGCAAAGTCTTCTAAGACATGACACAAAAGCATGAGGGACATAAAATTAAATAGAGGGACACAAAATTAAATAGATAAATTGGACTGCATCAAAATTTAACAAAAGTTTTTTTCTTCAAAGAAAGTGAAAAGACAACTGACAGAATTCACAAATCATATATGTGATATGGGACTTGAATGTAGACTATCTGATGAACTCTTACAACTTAATAATCCAAAAGACAACTCAATTCAAAAATGGATGAAAGAGCCAGGCATGGTAGCACATGCCTGTAATCCCAGAAGTTTAGGAAGCTGAGACAGGAGGATTGTAAATTCAAAGCCAGCCTCAGCAAAAGCGAGGTGCTAAGTAACTCGGTGAGACATGGTCTCTCAATGAAATACAAAATAGGGTGGGGATATGGTTCAGTGGTTAAATGCCCCTGAATTCAATCCCCAGTACCCTTCCCTTTACCTCCCCCCCAAAAAAAAGGATAAAAAAATTTTAACACACAATTCTTCAAATACTATATACATGTGGCCAATGTGCAATAAAATGATGCTCAAAACCTATTAAGGAAATACAAAACAAAATCATAATGAAATATCATTTCACACCCATCAAGATGACTATAAAAATACATCAATAATGTGGAGAAATTGGAACCCTCAACCATTGCTGGTGGGAATGTAAAATGGTGTATCCATTCATCCACTGTAAATTTGTCTTGGTGCTTAAATTTCACTTATGCAATACTTATTTTTGAGTTTTTTCTTAATCTGCTTGGACTATTATAACAAAATCCTTGGCTTGAAAAATTTATAAACAACATAAATGCATTGCTCACAGTTTTGGAGACTGGCAATTCCAGAGCAAACCACTAGAAGATTAGGAATAAGGGTCTGTTCTCTGTAGACTGTGGCTGCTATGTAACCCCAGATGGTGCAAGCAACAAATTTCTTTTAAAGCCGCTAATCCCCAAAGCCTCACTTCTTAATGCTATCACACTGGGGATTAAATTTCAACCTAAGAGTTTTAGGAAGATACAAACATTCAGACCATACCAGATTTGAAGCTGAAAAGGATTGAATTTAACCTTTTTCATCCATATCATCCTAAACTCCCATTAGAAGGATATATATATATTTGGCTTTGAGCATATCATTTTTCATATCCAGTTGCTACATGTGTTTTTTATAAACTGCTCACCATTTCTCCTCTTCTTAGGAAAGGATATCCAACTTTACATGTGATATTATGATTGGATTCACAACTATCTTTTTGGATGCCCTAGAAAGAGAAATTAAAGAGAAACAGAGTAGAGAAGCAGGTGAAATATTTGAGCTTAAACTTCTTATTTTAGAATTTCCCCAGCTGTGTCTTGGTGACATCCTTGCCAAGATTTGTCTCTATTTAGCTGGGGGAGCCAGCGCTCTGGGACGACCTGTTCCATAGTCCATGAAAATCTGAAAATTCATTTGAAGGTGCCTGAAAGACAACACACATCTCACTATCTTTTCCAAATCCTCATTTGGAAAATGACACCACTGATAACATTTACTTACAGGTGATTGTAGTACTGGACAAAATAATACTGGACTGCACAGAATAGCCCACAGTGAATGTTAGTACTTAAGAGTTTAGTGCAAGTAGAGAAGAGCAAGGGATCTGAGCTGGGACCACCAGGATTGAACTCCTGCCTCCACCACTGTTTGCTCTAACCATGTCAAGATTGCTCACCTATCTTGGTCTGATCATCTAACAAGTGGAGTTGATAATGCTGTACTCTATCAAACCTAAAACGTCATTGAATGTGAGATACAACATTATTTTATAAACCAGTGGGAAGGAAAAAGCCATTCTTGCAGTTAAATAGCACACAGTTAATTGTAAAATGCAATTGCAAGAAATGTTAACATGTGAAAAATGGTTTATCCTTGAATCTCCACAGTAACTAGGTACAATGATGTCTACTTATCAAAGAATGATAATCAGATCAATGAAATCCTTGGAACAGAACTCAGCATGTAATTCAAGAAGGGGTAGCCATCATGACGATTATTGATACTGTTCATAAAAGCAGAGGAGGTGCATGTTTGGTTTTATTGCCAAACTCAGTAAATTAGCTGAAGAGCATACAATTATTTTTAATATAGTTACCCTTTTCAGAGGGAATTTGAATGGTTATACTTTCTAATATTGCTTTGCACCTATATTTTGAATTTATATGACTATATTTATAAATAACATTCTGAATGTAAGATATGCTATAGTAACATAGTAATGTATGATGTATATATTATATACAATATATAATATATAATACATACATTTAATATATATGATATATAGAGTATATATACATATACATACATAATACATATATGCTTAGATATATATTATTATGCATAATATGTATATATACTTCATATATTATTGTATTAATATACTATTCTAATATTCAGAATATTATTTATGAATTTATTATATACTAATGCATATAGTAATATATGATTTTTAAGCCTATTTTTAACATCATATCTTTAAGTGATATCCTATCAAATGGAGAGATATACAAGTGAAAATCTTGAATTCATATCAACTAGACAATAGCATTTTAATACTATCTGTAATAAGTGTATTACCTTTTAACATGAATCATATATATTATTAATTCATATAAGCAAATACAGAATTTCAATTCAAGAGAATTCATTTGGAGATCAGAATTAAAAGCAAAGTTCAAACTTGGAAGTATTAGCTACTCTGTGATATAAAGATGTAGGTACATAGATACAGATATCTATATCTACATATATTAGCACAGGGATCCCTCTCTGCAACTCTGTTAAAATATTTTGGCTTTGATATGTTCTTCCTTTACTCAGTCTCAATTTCAGTGGTTTAAGTTCTTTGTGAAACATAGATACTTTTTGATACTTCAACTATTCCTTTCTCGGCTGAATAAGAAGAAAGATACATCTCCAAAGAAATAAAGCAAAAGATTTTTTAAAAAGCTTGGTACTTTTACCACTAGTGTATGTTTACTTTATACAAAAAACCTTTTTTATTCTTCTAAATTATAATATGTTAAGAGCAATTATCTCAGTAGTATGAAAAGTACATTCAAGAAATGCTTGCTAAGAGAGAAAACAAATAACTCCAAGTTTACCTCAATTCCAGAAAAAATTAGATTTGGAGAATATTGCACAATTGTTCTGGTATTATAGGCACTGTCCCTTTTATTTCTCACTGTCAGGCTAACATTGAACTTGTCATTTTGAGACTTGACAATAAGCAGGCCCTTTTCTTTGGTGGATACATCCAGAACGAGGTCTGAGATACATTTTTCCTTATTTCCACAATCTTTGGCAAAAGGAATCTGAAACAGTAACAAGAAAGTATTTTTGAAAGTTTAGTTATGCATTATTGAAAATTATGTATCTTTTTATGTAACAGAAATTACATGTATCAGAAAAGGTTAAGCAAGTCATGATGAGGATAGATTGTACTGCAGAAATTTTAAGAAATTTTATACTTATTCTTGAAATCTATAGGGAAAGAATAAACTTTTACACATATATATTTTTCCTAGTCCTTTTAAGAATGCACAGTATTTATGGCTATTTTCCACTAGCTTTAGTCTGTCAGAGAAGGTAAGAATTCTAAGATATTAAAGCCACTCAACACCAATTATAAGATTTTCTATTGAAAAGAATCAAATACTTAGGAATATAAAAAAGCTGGGTCTAGAGGGTGGGAGAATGGTCACACCATGTGTCTGGGAGTTATGCTTGATTCTTCTTCACTGTCTCCCCACACCCAAACAACACAGCCAATCTCCAAGTACTGTCCAATCCACCCCCACTTCTAAATACTGCCTAAATCTTTTCTCATCCCTCCTCTTCCTCTCTGAACTAAAGTAATAGCCTCCACCTATTCTCCCCCACCCACTCATTTCTCTTTGATCATTTTCCATATTGTGGCTGAAGGAATCCTCAGGAATTGCACATATAGCCCCAACATTGAGCTGAATTAAAACTTCCAACAATATTGCATGGCTCATATAAAAGTTTAAAAAGTATGCTGTGGCACCAAGTCCTGAAGGATCTTGCCCCTGCTTTGGCCTTCAGCCTCAACTCACATCACCTCTCCCCTTGTTCTTTAGTTCAAGCCACAAAAATGAGTACAATTTAGCTTTTTTTTTTTCTTTTTTTTTTTTTAATATCTCAGGACCTTTATATACACGATCCCCTCTGCTTCCCTGACTAAGTGGGATGGAAAATCACCCACACCTTCAGGTTTCCACCTAACTGTGTAGGGGGCTTTCCTGGACTCCCCAGACTACACAGAAGTTCCTGTAGTGCTCTGAAGTTCTCCACAATCTAATTACTACCTAAAACCTTCATGTTGACAGACTCCTAGGTTTTACTGCAAGCCCTGTGCCTAGTATATATAAGACAAGAAATCTATTTGGAAGGTAGGAAGAGAGTAGAAAATAGGTGTGTGAGGAAAACTAATTCCTCATCTTGAATATTTCATCTACTGGTGCTGCATGGCACTCTCCTCCATCTCTGTTCCCTATTTACTGTCAGGTGTGGGGCACTGAATTCTGAATTTGGAAGCAGGACCTGGGGAGCACAGCTCAGCCCCTTCTTGTCTATTTGCCTTTGGGGCAGCAGTGTGGACAAGGGAAGCATACATTCTGATTTACTCCATTTGCAAGTTTTACAGGTGGGCCCCAGTGAAGAAGGCCAGAGATGGGTCCATAACACTGTCACTACTTGGTTATCTATGATGTGAGTCCAAGGTTTACTATGAGGGTATCCTCTCTACCTAAACTGTGCCCTGCAACTCAGTGCTCTCTAGGGTAAAGGGGGGCATTTCTTTTGATTGGTCCTGAATCATTTATTAGTTTCCTTAAACTCCAGCAATAGGAAGTTAGAGGGTTAGGAAAGGTGTCTAATTACATAAATGTAACATAATATATATAATAATATGACATATATAGATATATGTGTTTCAAGCTTTTTGCTAATACAGTCACAAGTAGGTACTCTGAATTTAAAAAAATCTGACTTACGTATTCATGTACTGAATTTGGTAAAGAATCATCAAGGATTGGGCCATTTTCTGGATCAGTAAGATTAAAATCCAAAGTTATTCTCACAGAATCCTGAAAGTCATGCTTGTCCTAGAGTTTGAAATAAATAAATAAATAAATAAATAAATAAATAAATGAAATAAATAAATATATGAAATAAATAAAATATGTCATTGGTATCATACTGACCAGACATTCTAATCTTGTAGCTTTTTCTGCCCTGTGGCTTACTAGAACATTTTTTTTTTTTTTACAACTAATTTGACAATGTGCCTAATAAGACTTTTGCTTTGATGGATGGAGATGGCCTTTCTGCTTTGACAAGGGAAACAGCTGGAAAGCAGAGGTTTCAGAATATAACCAGTTGACTCACCTATGGCTCCTCAAAGGGGTCTGCTGAAGTAATGGGATACAGCATACCTTGTTCCAGGTCAGGATATACCACCCTGATCTGCATGCATAACAATGTCATTTATCTTGATACCTTGAACTAAAAAATCAGTATGTAATACTTCTAGGAAAGTCTATCAATTTCAGAAGGGCAAACTGCCTTTAAATGGACTTATATTTTATTTTTATTATATGTATATATAAAATTTTATAATGAAAATTGATATAGAAATGATGTGAATATTATTAATAATTCCAAAATTATCACTAATAATAGTTTTCATTTATAGTGTCCAAAATTACGAGTTTACACATTATTTTCAATACTTCTTTAAGGTGAATAACTATTAGGGTTTTTATTTTATATTGGCTTAGTTGAGCCTCTATGGCCAAATAACTTTATTAAAGTAACACAGAATGTGGGGAAGTTGGGATAGAAATTCCACCTGGCTAACTCCAGAACAAGTGTTAAAATGTCCATTAAAATCCACAAGAATTTTGGAAATTTTGAAGCTAGTTTGTTTCTTTTAAGGTACTTGGGTACCTGGACATGGTGTAGATACTGAACTTGGGAACAAACAGACTGCAATTGCTTTCAGGAGACTGGTGGCAATTCTATATCTGTCTTATGCACATGGAATTTGACACAAAGTTTTAACTCCTAAATGTTCAGTTCTGATGAGCAACATCAGAGGGATTACTCCAACTTTATTTTTTTCAGATCATAATATTGATCTTTATATTGATAGAGTAAGTTTATTCTGATGTCTATCATAGGTCATACTGGCACAAAAACCATTGAGAAAGAATAAATGTGGCATACCAGGATGCACATTTTCTGTCACTCTCCTCACCTAACTATATTTTTCCAAAATATTTTATATAAATACATGAAGAATATGAAAGCCAGTCACAGGTTGGAAAATCAGCCTGTATCCTTTGAAACTACAAGGTCATGATCAAGCATCTATGTCTTAATCTCTGTTACTCAAATCAGTGTTTCCTCACTACCTTCATTCTGCTTTAGAAAAAAATTATTATCATGTACACTTTAGGAAAATGTTTAAGAAACTCCCACCCTCAATTGAGAACACTCTCCACATATGTAATACCACAAGAAAATACATTTAAAATGGTACAAATTGGCTTATCAGCCATCTCTAGAGATTAATAATTTGCTTTCCAAACCTCTCTCATCCACTGAAACAGAAAGAAACTGAAGTAGCACAAACCCTCAGAAGATTAAAAAAAATAATAATACCAATGGACCCCGAAAGCATATGTCCCAATTAATAGTCTGTCCTCAGGGCAGTTAATCACTGATCACTGATGAGGTCCAGAGAAGTCAAATGGTGTTTTCAAGTTGAAAAAAGTGAATGAATGCAAGAATGGAAAGAATAAGGGAATGAGGAGTCCTCATTCATGATTCCTAGATTCTGTAATATATGGATGTCTGATGCACACAGGGAAGATTAAAGAGTTTCTCATTTGGAAACGACCTGCAATTTTTATTTATTTTTTCTGATGAGGGAACAAGCAAAATGAAATTTACTTTATGTTGTCCACTTTGAAATAAAATAGTCAGAACTTGAATGACTTGAAATACAACATTTATATTATATTCTATGTTTGGAATAAGGCAGCTATAATATATGATTTACTTGCCAACATGTAGAAGGAATGCCTAGTACATTCTGATCCTTGAACTGTGATATTTCGTTGAATCTTTCTCTCCTGAGTTCCAGAGAAAAAACTTCGTGATATCTGTCTTAGTGAATCTAGGGTGACACGATACTGCATATCTATAAAAATAAAAGAATAGACAAAAATGTTTATTTAAGAATGATTTTCACAATTCAACTCATTGAATAAATATTATAGAAATATCTTTTGAGCAATTATTCAAACAAAAGAGTTTTATTTCTTGGCATATTCACATTAGTGTAGTACAATGATATTAGCAGTCAAGAAGACCACCCTGAGGAGTGCTATAGAACTGCTTTCTGATTTCATCATGATTTTATCATGTATTGAATTATGCTTACTTATGATGTACATATATATGAAGTACATACATATGACATACATGTATGTGATGTACACATTCACATGCATACACCCACCCATCTAATTTACTGACCATTCTGTATTTACTTGATTTTCACTCAAAATATGAATTTAGAAATGTTGGAATACTGTTTGTAATACTGATCATGTCATATTTCACTAGAGATAAAAAGACATTAATGGCATTTTTACATTTTTCATAAAATATGCCATTTTAGATTATGTTCAAAGCACTATTAAATTCAATAAAATAAGTATATATAAGTGAAATCTTGTATTTCATTTGAGGACTACAATCCTTATTTGATTCCTTAACTGTTTTACAAACATCAAATAAGATGAAATAATGTTGCATATAAAAACCTAAATTGTATTTTTGTATTACTATACCTTATTTATTTTCTATTCAGGGGACTATTTCAGAGTACATGTGTACATATATATAGCAAATTAAGAAAAAAATGATTTTAAGGATGAATGTTTTTTCTCATTAATTTGTCATTCAGATTGCAGAGTAAATTACTCTTCTGTAATCAATGGACTTACAGCTTTGGCTCCAACATATTTCAACCTAATTTCAAAACTTCCTTAGAAAGTATAGAACGCAGAAGAAGAAAGATGCTCAGACTGACATGAGCCACCTGAGAAGCCCACACATCGTAAGTCTGACTCTAAAAAACTAGTGTGACCTAGTAGAAAGGAACAAGTAGTTTGAGTTCTTTATATACTCCGGAGATTAGTGCTCTATCTGATGAGCATGTAGTAAAGATGTTCTCCCACTCTGTAGGCTCTCTCTTCACATTATTGGTTGTTTCCTTTGGTGAGAAGAAGCTTTTTAATTTAAATCTATCCCATTTATTAATTCTTGATTTTATTTCTTGTGCTTTAGAAGTCTGGTTAAGGAAGTCAGGATCTAATCCAACATGATAAAGATTTGGGCCTATTTCTTCTGTTAGGTGCAGGGTCTCTGGTCTAATTCCTAGATTCTTGATCCACTTTGAGATGAGCTTTGTGCATGGTGAGAGATAGTGGTTTAATTTCACTTTGCCGCATATGGATTTCCAGTTTGCCCAGCATCATTTGTTGAATATGTTATCTTTTCGCCAATGTATGTTTTCAATGCCTTTGTTTAGTATAAGATAACTGCATTTATGTGGGTTTGTCTCTGTGTCCTCTATTCTGTGCCATTGGTCTACAAGTCTATTTTGGTACCAACACTATGCTGTTTCATTACTGTAACTCTGTAGTATAGTTTAAGGTCTGGTATTGTGATGCCTCCTGCTTCACTCTTCTTGCTAAGGATTGCTTTGGCTACTCTGGGTCTCTTATTTTTTCCAAATGAATTACTTGATTGCTTTTTCTATTTCTACAAGGAATGTTGGGATTTTAATTGGAATTGCATTAAATCTGTAAAATGCTTTTGGTAGTATGGCTATTTTGACAATATTAATTCTTCCTATCCAGGAACATGGGTGATCTTTCCATCTTCTAAGATCTTCTTCAATGTCTTTCTTTTTTAAAAAAAAAATATTTATTTTAGTTGTAGGTGGACACAATATCTTTATTTCATTTTTATGTGGTGCTGAGGATTGAATTCAGGGCCTGATATGTGCTAAGTGAGAACCCTACCACTGAGCCACAACCCCAGCCTTTCTTTCTTTAGCATTCCATAGTTTTCATTGTATAGTTTTCAAAAAGCTTAACACCCCCAAAATAAATAACTCAATAAATAAATGGGCTAAAGAACTGAATAGATACTTCTCAGAATAAGATATACAATTGATCAACAAAATATGAAGAAGTATTCAACTTCTCTAGTAATTAGAGAAATACAAATCAAAACTACTCTAAGTTTTCATCTCACTCCTGTCAGAGTGGCAATTATCAAGAATACAAGCAATAATAAGTGTTGGTGAAGATGTGGAGAAAAAGATACACTCATACATTGCTGGTGGCACTGCAAATTGGTGCAACCACTATGGAAAGCAGCATTGAGACTCCTTAAAAACCTTGGAACAGAACCACTATTTGACCCAGCTATCCCACTCCCAGTCTATACCCAAAAGACTTGACATCAGAATACTATAGTGACAAAGCCACATCAATGTTCACAGCAGCTCAGTTGAGAATAGCTAAATTATGGAACCAAACTAGAGACCCTTCAACAAATGATTGGATAAAGAAACTGTGGTACATATACACAATGGAATACTGCTCAGCATTAAAAAAAGAATAAAAATTATAGTATTTGCAGGCAAATGGATGGAGCTGGAGAATATCATGCTAAGTGAAGTAAGCCAATCCCAAAAAAAACAAAGGCCAAATGTTCTCTCTGATAAGTGGATGCTGATACATAATGGGAGGGGGTTGGGGAACTCTGATTGGGGCAAAGGAGAGAGAGAAAAGGGGAAGGAGCATGGGGGCAGAAACACTGGCGGAATGAGATGAACATCATTACCCTAGGAACATGTATACACACATGGTGCGACTCTATATCCTGTACAACCAGAGAAATAAAAAGTTGTGCTGCAATTGTGTACAATGAATCAAAATGCATTCTGCTATCATGTAGAACTAATTAGAACAAATTTTAAAAAAAGAGAAAAAAAAAAAAGGAGTTAAGTACTTAGGTCACCTGCAATATCAGTCTTCCCCAGGAGGGGGCAGAAGAAGGGAGAGGATTCTTTGAAAATTGAAAAAACAAAAAACAAAAAAACAAAACAGACTTTTTTTGAAGTCCATTTCAAATTGCTGCCCCTGAGTTGATATGCCTGTACCAAATTCTACTGGATTTCACTGTGCCCCAAAGTACTTGCTTAAATAAGCTTACCAGCTTTGTAAATTGAGTCTTCTTTGGACTTCAATTTTGCATCAAAACATATTGTAGCATTTATGCACACTGTTTCCTTTCCCTCCATATGGCAGTTTTTCTTTTGAATATTCACTTTATTTGGTTCAAAATTCATGGTCACTTTAACTACAGCAACATCTCGGGACCTACAAATACATAAACAATGGAAATCACTCACATCTTTATGCATTTCATGAATGCCATCAAGTTGGCAGTGCAATGTGACAGCATCAGAAGAGTCTCCTTTGTATATCCTGAGGACTCCTTTCCTCTAATGAGTCATCAATGGAGAAGAGAATGTATCTTATGTTCTGTGGAGATCCAGGCTCTTTTAGAAATATCCTGTGCATTTGGTTGAAAGTCTTAGGATCTAGTTTTGCTTGTAATGGGAAAAAAGTAAAATGAAGTTCCCCAGGAAGAGTTCAGAACCAAAACAATATTTGGGGGATCTCTAAGTTTGTTTCCCCAATTTGAAATGGTCCAGAGGTCCCTAGAAAACTTGTGGGCCCCAGTTAACCTTCATCTAGACTAAGTGATTTGTCTATTCTTGTGGGTTCAGCTGTGCCTATGTCTGGGAAGAAGAAGCAGAGTAACACTTGAGGCATTGTGTTAACCATGTGTGTTATTTCATTTAAATCTTACATTGACTTTGATTTTAAGAAGAAAAACCATATAGTACTCCATTCCTTCTCCATGTTTTGCTTTTCCCAGTCTCAACTATCTGTGGTCAAACATGGTTTTCATTTTCTTTTTTTTTTTATAGTTTTTAAACAATTTATTCACTGGAAACATGAAAAACATAGACATGCATAAGAAAATAGAATTCACATAATTCTGCCTCAGCAGTAATAGCCATGAACATTTAGTACCCTTAATGTTTTATTTATTAGCAAAAGAATAGAGACTTATGCAAATACATACATATATGCATATATAAACACACAGGTCCTTCTTACACAAGTATATATATATATGTCTATAGATATATACATATATGTATATAAATACACATTTTTGTTTTTCGGTACTGGAGATTGAACTCAGGGGCACTTAAGCACTGAGCCACATCCCTAGCCCTATTTTTGTATTTGATTTAGGGACAGGGTCTAACTGAGCTGTTTAGTGCCTTGCCATTGCTGAGGCTGGCTTTGAACTTGTGATCCTCCCATCTCAGCCTTCCAAGATGCTGGGATTACAGGTATGTGCCACTGTTCCTGACTGTGCATGCACATTTTAAAACTTATATAAAATATCAGCCAGTTTACCCTTTCATCAGCAATGAATGGACATGTCTGGTTTCCTGTTTAGTAGTATGGATTCTCCAGACATGATGCCACCTTGACCACTTTCCACCCTATATATTCTTTCTGCTTTCACTAGATCTTTACAGTAGCTATGGCTCAGTCTAGTCCATGTGACAGGACTCTCGCTATTTGAATGTTTTTGACTACCCATCATCTGCCATTTGTACTCAGATTCAACCCCTACTTCAGCATTGCAAAACTTGCTCTTTATGTCCCAGTATCCATTTACTTTATCTGCTGTCAGTACAGCTGGGGTTATGACAAGGACTGTGTGTATTTCTGTGAATCAGGTAAATGAATTAAGATATGATTATCCTAATATCTGTATAAAACTCAAAGATATTTATACACATCTTCCCCAAAACAGAATATCTATTTTATTGTCAAGTATATAATAGATCTCCAAATTAAGAGTTCATTCTATTTGTTCCTTTAATATAGCTTCTCTGTTTTTTAAGATTCAATGACTCCTCCAACTTATTCCACTGAATAATTTGTATTTGCATGACAGAGCATAAAAGGAAGTAGAAGAAATTTGTTATGGCATGAGCTCCAGTCACAGTCTGAGTTCTGGAATTATTTGTGAAATACTGTTGGATTAATCAGATGTTATAAAATACATACCAAAAGAGGGCAGCCCCTCCAAGGCCCCCAATAGTCACATCAGTCAGACCATCACCATTTAAATCCATTTCTCCATGGATAGACTGGCCAAAAAATTTCAGTGTCTTGCCATCCCCACCTGATGGAATACGCTGTGAAAATCCCAATGGAGAATTTTATGTTAGAGTTTGTGCAAAAGAGCCTCAAATAATCTGGGAATTTATATTGGTTAACAAATATTGAACTCAAACTTTTTTTTGCGAAACAGGAGTCCCCTCATGTAGTGACAAAAGGAAATATTCAGAAGTTCCCAAAGGATATTGTTCTTTTTATAGTAAAGACAGAATCATTTCAGAATGATTGGCACCACAGAGAAGGGAAAAGATTATGTAGTATCATCTTGTATTCTCAAGGGAAACATGATTAACTGATTCTCCTTTCTAGTTACTTTTTAATCCCATTGTACAGAGATAATTAAAGGCAATGAAAATCTTGAAAAAAAAACCTATTATAAAAGCAAGTAGGGGTATGGAAGATTGTTCTAGGGGTCAATTTGGGTTCATTAAACTTTGTGTCTGGTTATAAATAACATATTCCATCAAGTACATTTTTCAATATTCAGTCTTTTTTCTTTGGTGGGGGTACCAGGGATTGAACTCAGGGACACTTGGCATTGAGCCACATCTCCAACCCTAATTTGTATTTTATTTAGAGACAGGTTCTCACTGAGTTACTTAATGCCTTGCTTTTGCTGAGGCTGTCTTTGAACTCACTACCATCCTGCCTCAGCTTCCCTAGCTGCTGGGATCACAGGCATGTGCCATCATGCCATCATTCGATATTCAGTCTTTTTTACTGTGTGCCAAAAATTGTCCTAAAAGTCAAAGTCACAATAGACCAACTCCACTCACATGTATCCTCAATGTAGGTAGAAGTGAATATTGAGCTGATTTGTTTATATCACCATACATAGATATCTGCACTTCTTGACTTAGCATTGGTATATGATGATGCTAATTTAATAAAGTCTGCTGGCAAGGAGGCAGGACTGACAGACCCCCTCTAAACTTGGGGTGTTATCATCTTCTTGTTTTTTACTTAAATAACAGAAAACAAGAAGCCAAATAAGACAAACCAATTGGAAACATTTCTCATGCTAAAAATTGTATGTCCCATTGGAAAGTCTTTCCACATTTTTCAGCAAACAAATAAGGAGATGGTTTGGGAGGACTTAATTCCATTTGATTATCCTGTACACAAGCAGCACCTCTGGTTCCCATGGAAACAAGTAAGCACATCCTCACTTGTTCCCTGGGAAAGCATTTTGCTGATAATTAAATGAGTCTAACTTTAATATTCTGCTTTGTTATTTTTGTTTAAAGATGCATTTTGATTTACCACTATTTTACAAAATAAATTTCTTACGAAAATCTGTTCCATTAAATGACAAAATGTCTTCTTTTTTCTTCTTCAAATGCCATTCCATTGAATTAGCAGGATTAATAGTGAAAGAATAAAAGTGGTGGAACAAAAGAAAGATATCTCTTCCTGCATTTCTTGGTTTCATCATGTCCCAATGGTTAATAATGCCTGTCTTTAGTGAAGTATTTAATACCATGACGATTTTTAACAGAAACAAATCATTTATCAAATGAATAGAAACTTTGTTACTGAAATAACCCTTTGGTTTGTTCACTATTAATGTCATTATGGCTTTATGAAAAATTCAACACTTTACCATACATAATAGATTTTGAGAACTCTCTTGACCACAGAACCAAGGAGACCACTCAAATGCAAAATTAAATGAGTAATGTTATGATTTCTTTTCATGGCACATAAGCTAGAAAGTGGTGAGTTTTATTTTATTCATAATTAATTATTCAATGACTAACCAACTAACAGGAAAACAATTACATTAGAACTACTTCAAAATCTCTTGTTTTTGTACCACATTAAGCATTTCTGTAAAATAATATTTTTCTCATGTATGAGGAAATTAAATTAATAGATTAGAGCTATTAATGGATAATAAATTTAAAACAGGAGCAACAGGAATCCCCTGCAGATTAAGCCCTCTTATACAATTTTCTTCCAATGAGGATTACTTACAAGAAAATTATAGACCTTCAGAAACTCAAATTTATGTGATGAAAATATGCCAATTTAATTCACAAATATAAATTTAATGACATCTTATTATAACAACATGAACACTAAATATGAAAACAATCTCACTCTTACCTCCTTTATTGACTAAATCATAATTATTGTTCTCATATTCAGAGGAATACACTCTCTTTAGGATCAAACACTTTGCAGATATTAAATAGCATTATTATGAAGTGTTCTTTTTTTTGTTTTTTTGCCATTTCAAAAGATCAAATCCTAGAGATATGGCAAATAATAACAGAAAAGAAACCAGATAAAAGTGTAAAATGAGAAGGAATCATTCTTAAAAAAAAAAAAAACAAAACTCTCAGGAGAGAATTAGAATTGAGTTTCCCAACAGAGTGAGAAGAAAGAAATCAAATAGCTCATTAAGTAACCAGGCAATGCCACTCAGCATTGGAAGGTGGGAATTTGTAGGTTTAACTTCTTACTTGTGCATACTCTTTCCTTACAGTCTTCCCACTACCATGATAAATGTAGACCGCTCCTGCGTGATCATTCTCCAGCGGAGCCCCTATCACGACGTCATTAAATCCGTCAAGATTGAGATCTTTTACAGCAGCAATCGCTGTTCCAAAACGAGCCCCGCATGGCTCATTTTTGTTTTCTTTTGTGCATGAGTTGTGCTTCAGAGATGAACAGCAAGTCTGCTTAATTGGTTCCAGACTCATTTGATATTCAAATCTTGTCTGGAAAAAAGATAAACAGGATACTTATGGATTTCTGTCACTACTAGAGCAGAGTAGATTTTTAAAGTGCATGCCAAATCAACACTATTAAGAACCATCTGTACATTACTAGTACAGTTTGTAAAATTTCTTAAAAAATGAAAGCAAAGTTGGGGATTCCAAAGAAGAGATTGTAGAATTATCAGAAAGAAATTTAAGAATCTCTTTTTAACACAATCAAATGAGTTTGTAATAAATAGCATATTTTCAAATCCAAACAACTGATTTTTTTATTCCTCAGTTTCTTCCAAATTTTGTGCTCTTTTTCTCTCTTCAATTCTCCCCCATAAAACAAAGAGGAAATACATGCTGTTCAGAAAGCAACTTTCTCTAAAGCTGCCTAGTGTGTGTGTGTGTGTGTGTGTGTGTGTGTGTGTGTGTGTAATTGGGGGGCGGGGGTGGAGGCAGGGGCAGAAAGCAAGGACAAAGTACTAGCCAAGGTCCTCAAGAACGTATTTTCTTCTTCTTCTTTATTAAAAAACAAACAAACATATTTTCTTGGAGGAAATTTAAAAAAAAAAGTGACTACAGTGGCTTCTGGGAAGCATCTGATGTCACTGATTTGGAACTAACTACCTCTTTTCTACCGCCCAATCCACCACATCTCTAATGATACCCAACGATGAATATAGTTTACAGGTGGATTTATTTAGCAGTTTAGTGAGTTTTATTTTCGTCTTTTCTATCCTATGTATTCTGACAACAAACCAACCAACCAACCAGCACTTCATATTTCCAAGCAGAAAATATCTAAGGGCTGGAATGATTTAATTAAAATTTAAAATATTCCTTTCAAAACAGAGTTTGGTGAGATGAACGGGAGCTAAAATCTTTGCTCATTTTTCTAAATTGAATGAAAAAATAAAAAATGCATTATTCAAAATTGAAGAAAGGGAAAAAGGTTTTCCTGGGTTTCAGATACCAAATTCAGATACCATTACCTGATTCAGAATATACACGTACACTTTTCCTTGTTCCTCTTTCTCTGTTCCCATGTACATGGGAGCCCCGACCAGAAGGATGTCAGTGTTAGAATCTTTATCAATGTCAACTGTAGTTAAAACACTACCAAAATAGGACCCAATCTAGGGCATAAGACAAAACAAGACAGCCTGGTTAACATCAGACATTCTCAAGGAAGTTAAAAATCTGCATGTTTCTTACTTTTTTCAATCTAGAACATGATTGATGTTTGGTTGACAAAGGAAATGAAATATAGAAACTGGTTGAGTATTTTTTTAAGCTAAAGAATATCAGTCTATCTCATCTTTGAGGGCAAATAGATGTCACTGATTTTATAGCTTAAAAGTAACAGAAACAATTTTCTTTAGATTTTTGTCTTTCTCCACAAATCAGATAGATAATACTACAGTGGCTTTTTTTTTTTTAAGGAAAATGGATAAAGAGGAGAAGGCATTCTAAAATGGTTTCATATATGTTTAAGTACAGTAATAGGAAATTATGAAATAAATGCATTAAAAGGAACTGACTGGTTTTGGGATACTGTAGGGTATTTTATCTCATGGTCTTAGATGATTATCTACTTAACAATCGGTAAGTCTTGTCCCAGCAGTTATGAAAGATGGAAAAATAAGAAAGGATCACAGGGGGCCATCCCCTTGCAGCAATATATTGTCTCTTTTAAAGATAGAGATCTGTTTGGGGGAAAAGCAAGGAACTCACATTTCACTATCTAAATGCTTAAATCACCTTTTAAAATACATTTAATATTTGACACTCTTAGTTCCTCTCTTATTGACACTTCCCATCCCAGATTCTGTGCTTTCATTTTTGCTCTTATGATTCTGTTCCTATATCACCAATCATCCTTTTTTTTTCTTCTTTGCTGGTCCCATCCCCTCAACTTTGGCCTCCCTGAGAGCCCAGATCTGAGGTTTCCTTTCTATTCTCTTACCCTAGACCACTAAAGCTTCCCAAACATGTTCACAGCATATTGTACATTTCTTTCTGTTTTCATCCTTGAGGCTCAAATTCTGCTTGATAGACATATAGATATTGTGAGATGTACTTTTTATGGCTTTTGAAGGTAATTTTCTCACAGACTTGAAGGGCTCAGAAGGCTTTTCGATATTATATTAATCACAAACATTTAAAAAAATATAGTGGGCTCTGTCAGCATCAGGTTTTTATTCCCCATGCTGACCAGGGTTCCCCCACTTTTTAGTGTTTAATGCCCAGCAGCTTTTTTCATTTATTTTACCTTACTGACATCTGCAAGCATCTGAATTTGTGCTTATTACTACAAAAAACATATCAAAATCTTAATACCATTTTTTAAAACTTTTTAAAAAAGTACCACAACTGCTTGTTCTACTGGAGCCACATTTCTCTTAGATTTGCAGGCCTAAAACTGAAATCACTCATGATTTAAATCATTCATGCTATTTTCATCTACTCAAGTAAGCAGTTTCCCACAAAATTTTATACTTCTTTTCACCTGTAGACAATTAACAGAAAGATAATCGACTGAAGATGTCAGCTAAAATGCTTCATTTTACTTTCTCAAATCCTCTTTATTTGTGCCTATTACACCTCTTCCTTTTCCATGTTTGATTGTTAATATCTTATTTTAGGTTCTTACATCATCCTTAAATCACGGTGACAGCTGCATTTTTATTGCTGATGCATTTTGTGAGCATGAATGTGGCAAAGAGTTTATAAAAACACTTTTGCTTGGTATATGAGAATCTGACCTCTGGTGTACTCTGAGATTCCCCTGGGAACCAGCTGAGGATAGGATTCCAATTATATTGTCAAGCATCACATGGTGGTGAAATCAAGCAATGGCTGGAATGTTATATTGAGGTCATGTGGAATCAAGAGTGAACTCTACCTGATAGAGGTAACACATTTTGGGCTTCTTTGGATGGTGGCTCTTGTAGCTAGCTTGCCCTTTGCAGACACCCTGTAAACTATGTCTGTGCTACTGTCATAAAGAATACTAGCTCCTATGAAGAGAGGGCTTTAGAGCCAGGGCAGTTGTAGATCTGTTTGTGGCACCTGGGCTGTACATTGTGCTGGTCTAGTTTACTGAGATAAAATACCTACTGAGCCTTAAGAAGAATTCCCTTGAGGATTGCAGAATAAAGTTAATAATTTCTCATTGTAGAACACTTGGAAAATACAGAAAACTATAAAAATAGACAAATGTTACCCAAGTTATTAAAATCCCCAAAACAGCAGCAGCAACAACAACAACAACAACAACAAATATCATAGATAGATGCTATTCTTTTGGTCTGAAAAGTACTATAAGTATTTATGTTTGCCTTTTGCATGTATAATTTCTTAATCTAATTTTAATGTAATTAGTGTAATCTACTAATAATTTTCCAATTTGTGTTACAATCAATTTCCCAATACTTTGGGGGTATAAGTCAAACTTTTTAGTTTGTGATTCAATGTTTCACACAATAAGGGTCCCCATTATCTTTTTAACATTCTCTTTTACTTTCCTTTCTATTTATCTATATTTTATCTTTCCTTCTAGACTCACCCCAAATTCCATCACTTATTATGGCTTTTTGCACCACTCTTAACTTAAAATAGTCTTTCTACTTTCTGAATATACTGTCTATATCCTGGCACTTTTATGATTCTTAATGTTTTAGATCTCTTTTCTTGTACATATTTTGCAATCTGCATCTACCCCTATTATCTCTACATCTTATCTTCACTTCCATCCATCTGCAGTGTTTATGAGGCCAAAGGTACAGACACGTTACATCTTTCCAAAGAATCTAATAGGTAACTCTGCTTACGGAGGATATTGACTATGCAGGTATTGCTTTTAGAAGATTTAGAATAACAGAGACATACATGGAATGTGAAGAAACTAATTGGAAACATTTTTCAAGCTTACCTGTTCTCCACTGAGCGTCTGGAGAATCTTGATGTCCCCATCTTCCATTCTGTAGATAATAACCTGGCCTGTGTGGTTGTACCGTGGCTGTCCAGCAATATAGAGGACACCTCCAGGAGCAGTGGCAGAATTTACTGTGTAACCTACCAAAGAGATTCCAGACATATATCTGGCCCCTTAAAGTCTGCATGTAATATGTTATGAATGACTTTAGATTGTCAACTTACGGAGAATCACTGATCTATTTTTAAATGGATTTCTGCTTTTCTGAAAATAATAATTTTTAAGTGCACATAAAAATCTTCTTTTGATTAGAAACTTTTTCATTATCTATCACAACAACTTTGTTCTGGAAAGGTATCCCCCCATCTCAGTTTTTCATTGTTTAAAGGCACAAATGATATAACAGTGATGACAGAAAAAGAAAAAAAAGGTATACAAAGCTCCTTACCATTCCTAGTTCACCATTTTGGAATATATCCATTATATTCTACTTGGACATAAGTATCTGTGCTGTAGACATTAATGATAACATACTGTTAGGATTATAGGAAATATAAATCTTTATTTCTTGGTAGCCTGATTTTAAATTGTAACTTAATTGGTGAATATTATTTCTGTGAGTTCAAACATAAAGTTATTGAATTTGCTACTTGACCATTCCCTGATGGAATGTTGGAATTTAGGTGGTTTTTGATTGTTTGCTATTGTACTAAACTTGCAAAAATAAATATTTATTTACTTTTATTGAACTTAAATTCTTGAGTCAGCATTACTGTCTGCATTTTTAAGCATTTATTAAACATTTACTACTTTCTCTATTTTTGGATTTTTTCTTGACAGTAAGTTTAAATAGATTACTAGATCAAGTTTTTAGTGGTTCTTATACTCTTTGGCAAATTGTTTCCAAACATTTCTATTAATTATTTATTCTTATGAACAGTTATATGGGACACAACTAGTCTTGGGAATACTTTGGAAATGTCCCCAAGTATTCTGACTTATTATGTAAATTTTTAAATATTTTAATAGGTGTTAAACATTATCTAACAATAGTACTGTGGTAATTTTAATTTGTGTTTGATTATTAGTGAGCTAGTTTTCCATATGTCTGATCATTCATCCTTTTAGGGGCAGGTATTAAATTCAGGGTTTTGTGCATGCTAGCCAAGCATTGTGCCACTAAGCTACATCCTCAGCCCCCTTTTTAAAAATTTATTTTGAGACAAGGTCTCACTAAGTCACCCAGGCTGGCCTCCTGCATCCTTCTGCCTCAGCCTCCCAAATGGCTGGGATTTCAGGCATGCACCACCTCACTTAGCCACTCTATTTTAGTTGAGTTTTCATTTGGAGTTGTTTTTTTTCCCCTACTTTTACATTCATTTCCATGTATTTTATGTCAAGTTTTTCCTGAGCCGTAAGTTTTTGATTCTTGTTTTTTCTTCTGTGTAATCTATTATCCTGGTTTAAGTACAGTTTGTTTTGTTGCAGTCAGGATTATCTCATTGTGACAGAGGGAGATTATAAATGGGTTAATCCAACCATGAGCTCTGTAGACACACCCAGTTCATTTGGGTGTTTTGTTCACATGGATGTGCTCAATGACCAGGGAATCTACCCATAAACCCTTGAGTTCAGCTTTACCATCTGCATTTTTAAGCATGCACAGCAAAATGTCAGCACTCTTTCTGGGCATCCACCTTGGATTGGGCCCACCTACGAATGGCACCATCATAATGATGGAATAATGCACAATGGAATTGCAGGGTAACTTTTCAGATACTTGGTGTCCTTTTAGATATGCATACACATGATGGCTTGGAAAGTTTTATAGATATTCTTAAAGTGAAGGAGAAGATACTAACATCTTGAATTGCATGATTTTGTAGGGCTTACTGGGTCCAATGTATAGCAAACTATTTTGAGAGATCACATCAGGCCATTTATGGGAAAGAACTGGAATTTCGACTGTAAGTTAGATGATTATTATTTTTGGAGTCAAGAATTAGATTTATTCTTTCTGTCATTAGAGAACAGAGCTAAATCAATGGGTAAAAATGACTTTATGTACATGTCAACTCTCCAGAAGGAAAAACTGTTCTAATAACCAGAGCTGTTCATTAGTGGTGCAGGAAGCAGATTGTTTTTCAAAATTCCATAGAACAGCATTTCCAACAAAAAAGACCATATTTCTAATTTACTCAACAAGTATTTCACTATAAAGTATTACTTCTACTTTGTCTCAAATTTTTAAAAGAGGAACAGAGGTTTTGGTACCACTTAATTCTTACAAGTGCTGAGGGAACACAATTCCTTAGACATATTATCTTTTATGAGTAGTTTTATCACGTTTTCATTTGTTCATTTTTCTTTGAGTTCTTTTCTATTGTTATATATAACATAATGCAAAATATTCTTCAAACACACAATGTATTATTTTTTATATTACTAGTGGCAATATTGCTTAAGAATAAGAATTTTAGGGTCATGTTTATGCATACATAAAATAGAAAAGGAGATGTGCAAAACAAAGACTGCATTATTTCCTGCCATTCTACTAAGAAATATGAAGAAGGGAGTGGGATAGTGCAAGGGTTTTAAAAATATGTTGATTATTATTACTTTGTGTGATTTTCAGAGCTGTGAATACAAATGGGTAAATGACTCTTTAGAAAACAAGTTGAAAATTATGTTTGGGACTTGGAGTTGTACAATTACTTAATTAACTCTAATAATTTGCACTTTGATAACGGAAAATATTGGCTTATAAATCACAGGGACAGTAACTACCAGTAGCTTCTTGCTGGGGGCTCAAGTGTTCAAAGACAATAAAAGGAAAAGAAAAAGAGACAAATGTAGCCTAACTTTAATAAGGCAAATAATTATGAACATTCATGCTTAATATTGCTTCTTGAAAAGGAAAAGCATAAAATGAAAGGGGGGGGGGAAAGGGTGGCCTCATCCAATGCATGGATTTATGAACAGTAAATGAGGTCAGCTCCCACAATTCACTCTTTGGAAGAAGCTTGAGAAGCTGGTGAGGTCATGGGAAACAGGCATGATCTGTCTCCATTCCACTTCTTTGCCTCACGTCTTTCCTCTTCCTTTGGAGTTTGTCTGGCATGATTAGAAATCAGCAAATTGTGGGTGGAGGAACACAATCTCATCTGTATTCTCACCATTAAGCCCAGTTACTAAGCATATGTTGAGCACATATTGAGGTAGTTTGCTGAGTTACAGAAAGACAGCCACGTTGATGGGCATTGTGGCTCAAGCTTGTAACCCCAGCTACTTGGGAGACTGAGGCAGGAGTAACGCCACTTCAAGGAGAGCCTCAGCAACTTAGTAAGACCCTGACTCAAAAATTTAATAAAAATTTAAACAGGGCTGGGAGAATAGTGCTTGCCTAGCATGTGCAAGGGCCTAGGTTCAATCTCTAGCAGAGAAAAACCAATAAATAAATAAGGGTATGTGACTATATCCTGAGAGAGATGTTCATTAGCTTCCATTCCTACTTTGTTTTGATCAATATTGATTTCAGAGGATTTTTTTTCATACAGTATCTAACTCTTGCTTTGCTTCCTCCATTATATTTTCCATGGTCTCACTGTTTGCAATCTGTATGGATTTTAAAATGAAATATTCGATCTCTTCTTAATTTGCAATGTCCATAAGAAAACATTTTGAAAGCCTCATTCCGGATTTAGAACATTGGAGGAAAATCCCACAACAATGTACAGATATGGCTGGTACTTTTCTCAGCTTTATTGAAGTATAATTGGTAAGAGGGGACATATAAGTACTGTAGTCAGAAATGAAGGCTACTTTAATGTTTTCTTAATTGTGATGATATATTTAAACCCTGAATTCTCTAATTCTACTTTAATCAACCAATAAATCAATAAGTAAAGCTTTGGAGGAATAACAGATTTAGGATTCTAACAGTTTATTTAGTTTTAAGGACTTCTATCATATAATCATAGCTCAGAATACCAAAAATTCTGCATTGTTAAATTAATAATTAAATATGTGAACTTCCTAAAAGTAGAGAACATGTCACACTTGTTTGTGGACTTCATAAAATGTTTTTAATTTTCTAAATATCCAGTACTTAGAAGTTGTAATATTAACATCAGCTGCTGTTATTATTATATATAATATACCTGTGTTAGTTTTCTATTGCTTCTGTGACAAATTACCACAACTTGGTGGCTTATTACACTACAAATGTATTATCTTACAATTATGTTAGAAATCTGGCAAAGTTCCCCCAGGCTAAGATCACAAGTAGCCAGGTCTGTGTTCCTTTCTGGAGGAAAGGTAGAATCTGTTTCTTGGAGCTTTGTAGCTTCTAGCGACCACACATATAACATGTCTGGTGGTCCCTGTCCATATTCAAAGCCAACAACATTGCCTCTCTAATCATTTTACATAGTTCTAGCTCCCTCAGATCACATCCAGATGTTTTCTGATTTTAAGAACTTGGTTACCATGGGCCATGCCAGATTTCCTGGGATAATCTTTCCGTCTCCAGATTCATAACTTAATCACACCTGCAAAGTACTTTTTGATCCATAAGCAAACATATTCCTGGATCTGTGAATGAGGACACAGACATCTTTGTGAATCATTATTCTACTTATTACAATGATAGTAAGATGAATATTTTATTGTATAACAGTACATACCAATTAAACACCTACTGAATATTAGCATCTGTCAGGCAGAGTATTAAGCACCTTATGGTCATTATTTAATTTAATCTTTTTAATAGCCTAAATTATATATCAATTTAATTATTGCCACTTTATAAATAAACTGAAGTGTTGCTAAGGCCGTAGGAACAGGGAGAGACAAATATCTACAGCTGAGAGCCATCTTTAAATGACAGCTTCAGAACTGCATCAGGTCTTTAGTATTATGGCATTACATGGCATATGCCCATCACTTTTATTTTGATGAGCATATAAGATCCAAATAAATGGATTTACTATTTACTTCATTATTCCCATATTTTTGGACATGTGGGATAATGCTATTTCCTCTAATGCCATATATATTAATAAAATGAAAATGACTGTTTACATGGCATTCTTAAATGTTGGATTTGTTAGGTTCAATTTTCAGAAGTGAAATTTCTGGGTCAATATGTTGTGAACTTTTTATGACTCTGTAAACACATTGTCAAATCCCTTTCATAAGGAGTTGTACTGATTTATGTGCTACTCATTATATTTGAGGGTAGTTGATCTATAATTCTTCTATCTAAGATAGGAAGCAGTCTCTGATTGAACTGCTTCTTGATTCCAAGGCATTTCATGTTGAGCAGTCTCATAGAATCTTTCCCGAATTTACATCACAAACTTGCCAAATTTCAAAGATGTACATTGTATGATTTCTTGTCTCAACCCCAATTTCTTCAAGTTATGGAGGGAGAGGAACTTTTGCTGGAGTGGTTTACAGATCTGTATTCTCTAAATAAGTTTTTACTGGAAACTTCTAGTTTATCATTTTGCCTTTGAAATATGTGATGATAAAAACAATGGGATATTCTATCTGTTGTCTGACCAGGGTACGATGTAATGAGATTTCTATAGGAAAGAAGACTAGACTTTCATTAATGTGGTTCAGAGAGTAGTCACATTGTCCCTGCTGATCACCATTATATTTTTAGTTATCTGTAACACAGGCTTTTATTCTTTTTATATCCTCCTACCTCTTTAATAGGTGTTCTTGAATAAGGAGGCATATGGGAATACCAGTAAAAACTTGCCACTCTCCTCATAAAGTAGAAAGGAACTGGCTTATGTTGCTAACAAGACTTGCTCCAGGACAGAAAGATCCCTCAGAGGAATGCCAACAGACTAAAATGTGAACATTTCAAGGCTAAGGTATTTGTTTACTGCAGCATTCCCAGAACCAAGAACATATGCCTGGGGGCAAAAGAGGAGCCAGAAAAACATCTGCTGAAAGAGAGTTGGGAAGGCACACCCGGTGCCATTCCATCCCACTATTCACTGAGATCTTCTTCCAGTGATGAGGGTGCCCTCTAGTACCCCTGGCATCTCTGAGCCTGGTACAGATCCTGAATAAAGTGGTACCATATATATTCTTCCTTGTGACTAGAAGTCATTAGAAAGCAAGAGGAGGTTACATTATTGAGCTATGAGAGAAGAAGTTATATGATGAATCAACTTAAAATTCTCTGTCTTTCTGTGTCTTTCTGTCTCTGTCTGTTTCTCTCTCTATGCATGTGTGTGGGGGGGCACTGGAAATTAAACACAGGCCCTTGTACATGCTAGACACGCATGCTAGCCATCCCTTTTTAAGTTTTTACTTTTTGAGATTGGGTCTTGCTAAATTGCCCCAGGCTGAACTTGAGCTTAGGGTTCTCCTGTTCACCTTTCCTAGTAGCTGAGGTTATAGTCAAGAGCCATTGTGCCAGGCTAAAATTCTCTTTTTAAAAATTAAAACTATATAAAAAAAAAACTAATGGTAAAAGTTATTTAAGAGAATATGGGAATCTATTCTTCAGAATAGAGAAGTTAAGGTCTCTTTTTCTACCTACTCATTTTCTGTCCATAGTTCTTGAATTTAAAGAAAATACCAGGCATAAAAAGACCTATTAAAATGCATATAGCCTGAATCATTCCCTGAACTACAAGGTCCCAGTGAGAAACATTGACCTCCAGGTTCTGAAACTTCAACTTGCTAAGGCTCCTCATAAGTCTGAAACCTTTTATGGATTCTTTAAAATACTTAATTCTTTGAGGTGTTCTTACTACATGGCTTGCACCTAAAGAAATGCAAGCAAATAGCGCTAAAGATTAAAACATTTAAAAAATAAAAAATAACCTGTCAATTGCATTCAAACATTACCTAAATAAGAAGCAAGAGGTTCATTCTTCTTGGTAGATTCAACTTTAAAGGTTGTGTTTTGAGGGATTATGATTTGATTAGCCTTCTGCATGACCACTGTTCCATTCCAATCATAGGCTCCTACTGCTCCAAGCATGACCCAGTCCTTATACACAAATAGAGAAAGCAATAATGTTTAATATTTAACTACAAATGGTAAGTTTTCTAATCTTGCCTTTTTGCTTTATTTTGGGTATCCTAAATCCTAAATCTTAGAAATTTAAGGAATTCTTGCAAGACTCTTCATTATCTTAACACTGAGAAAAAGATACACTTCATGTCTGAGCAAATAAATTAAGTATTTTGTTTAGCCAGATATATGATTATATAAGACAAAGCTCAGACTAGCTGGTTCACAATTATTAGTAACATGTAATGAGTTGTGTGAAACAATGTTTTCCTAATAATAAGACTGTGAAATGCCATTTTCCTACTTAGATTAAAAAACATCCTCACAGTCTGTATAACTGCTCATGCCAGAAACCACAAATAGAACTTGTAATACTGATGGCTGGGTGTTAATTTGAGGGGAGGTAATCTAGCAAAAAGGTATTTCGTTTACTGCCAAGTGATCAACGTACCTGTGAATAATGAGCGCTGAAGCCAGTCTGAGACATTTCCATTTCAAATGAAGCTGCTGACTGGTCTGATGTAGCTATAACATAGGAAAAGATCACCATAAGTAACCAACAAAGTCTTTTAGTGCAGTGCTGACTTGCAGGACCCAAAGACCCAGTAGAGCCTGATATCTTTTTTTTTTTTTTTTAAAGAGAGAGAGAGAGAATTTTAATAATTTTTTTTTTTTTTAGTTTTTGGCGGGCACAACATCTTGTTTGTATGTGGTGCTGAGGATCGAACCCAGGCCGCACACATGCCAGGCGAGCGCGCTACCGCTTGAGCCACATCCCCAGCCCAAGTCTGATATCTTATCAACCACAACTTTTAACATCTCAGATACTTTCAGTAGTACATTTCTCAACCCAAAATTTCTAGGTTGAGCTGAGTAGAAGACAGGTTTGTGAACCAACTCCTGGCTCCATTCTCGTTCAATAGCTTCCCCATCCTTGCTGGAAGACTGAAGAAACTTGCATTCTTACACTGCAGCACACTGTGTCTCCTATGTGGCTTTGGGTTCACCTGGTTAAAGTTGCATTACAGAAGCAGGAAGCCTTTTTCATCCTTATGACCTGGGGATCCTGCGTAGGCTAAACTTACTTGATATTTTACAGGGCTGAAAAAATTTCATTCACATATTTAAAGAGGTGTCTAGCTCCACCAGTCCCACCCACATTTCAGGTCATAAAACTGGCCCTAAATGCATAGTTTGCATTTATTATATCTCTGGTTACAGGTATCGCTCACAGATCAGGAGGGGAGTTTTTTAATAGGGCTGTAGGCCACATGCAGCCTGATCATGTACATTTCAAAGATCCAGTGCCCACTTTGAAATGCTTCACTGAAATGCAGAGACAACACAGAGCATTCTCTCCAAGTACAATACTCCCAAATTATTCTCAAATACTCAGGAACCCAAAGCCACAATTTCCTGAGGGAACCAAGGGAATGTTGATTTACTTGCTTCCAATAGGGAGTTACTGATTAATTTGGCTTTAAAGATAAGTTTAAAATAACAATTTTTTTAAAGTCAGTCTACCCTCCCATTGAGGCATGAGAATAATCAAATACGTGAAATGAAACATATTCACTATTTATTCACTGGTGTAAATTATCAACAAATCCATTAGTAATTGCCTTTTATAGGACTAGATTAATGGAATAATCATTAAGAATTCAAATCTATCATTTTAATCTCTTGCACTTATTGTCCTCTCAATGACTTTAAGTTAAACATGTTTTTTGTTGTGGTTGTTGTTGTTTTTGGCACTGTGGGTTGAACCAAGGAGCACTTAACTACTGAGCCACATCCCCAGCCCTCTTTTTTATTCAGGGTCTCACTAAGTTGTTTAGGGCCTCACTAAGTTGCTGAGACTGGCTTTGAACTTTTGATCTTCCTGCCTCAGCCTCCCATGCTGCTGGGATTACAGGCATGAGCCACCACACCCAGCAAATTAAACATGTATTCTAATAGACAGAGCTCAAAGGCAATTCCTCACTTATCTTTGCAAGACCAACAGTAAGAAATCAGCAGCCAACTGTGCATGTTTGCAGCCTGCACTGTGCTGCTCTGATTGAAGCTGAGAACCAGGAGAGAGAAGCTGTGTGACACTCCACCAGCCATATTGGCACCATGTAAGAGACTGTCCTCTCTCTCTGAGCTTCTGACTTTGAACCGCTCCCTGTTCTGTTCTGGAGGTTGAGCTAACCACTCTGACTCCTGCACAGTTTCTGGTTAGGAATTGCATCATTTTCCCCAACCCTTGATAGGAGAGCGAGACGTTAGACCATTTCCTGTTTCATTAGGCAAGTACTTGGCATGCGTGCCTCATTAGGTGGCATTGTGCTTGGCAAGCAGGACCTTCATAATTGTAGCTATTTACCCTGAGAAGATAAATGTTGACAGGAAATGGATGTTTCCCAAATAACAAGGAAAAAGGCCACTTCTGATCTCATTATGAAAATAAAACAAGAAATAATCTAGTCAAAATACTGGTTTTGGTTAGCTTTAATTATGCAACAACAAAGATGTGGAAGATGTTTTTAGTCTGTGGAGTTCCTTATAAAACACTTTTTACTTTTACACATAGGGACTTCTTGAAATATACTGGGCACTCCTATGTGGAACTTGTTACGTATAGTGTGGGTAGGCTAGAAACAACCTGAAAATGTCATTTCAGGGAAATTGAGCCCCACCACCCCCGAGGATTTGGGATTCATTTCTGCCTGTACTAGTTTATAGTTACTTGCTTACTTAAGAAAATATATAGAAATGATACTATATATTTAGCTACCTAGTATGACTGATAAATATTAAGTTATTTTTACAGATTGTTTGTTGGCCCATGGTTGTTAAAAATTAAAAGTGCAGAATAACTCAGAAGGCCTTACATATTTCCTTAAGTCCAGGCAAACTCATGACCTGGACTGTTGATAAATGACACTATGATGGCTGTGGAAATACCGAAGTTACATAAAAATGACTTGTACACAGAGTACAGGACAGCTGAGTCCTTCAGAAGCAAGTGCAACTTCACACTAATGAATAATTCTAGAGTCCTTTCTCTGAAGGCTCAGAGGGAAAGGAGCCAGAGAAAAAGGGAGACATTTCTGCCTACATTGTCAATCCCCATTATCTGTAAATCAAACTCTCTAAGTACTGATTATGACCCAATTGTGAAGTCTACAGGAAAAGTGTGGTGAGGATTTTTTAGTTGTTGTTGAAAGAGAATAGAGTAAAATGAAAGAGATCAGAAATTATCATAGTGCATTTCATATAATTAGAATTATTTTGTGAAACTTGGTTTTATTTTTAAATGCACACATATGTGTGCGCTGTGTTGCAAAGGAAAACATATTCATCATCATGGGTCAGTTCAGAAGAAGTCTGAAAGCCATTACTTTAGATCATTTTCTTTTTCTTCTGTGAGTTTAATATTCTGTGTTAGTTACTTCCTTGCATTTTTCCAGCCTCTGCTGGGAATTAAAAAATTCCCATGTTTGGGAATTCAAGAATGACCCACCTTTTTTCCAGTAACACCTCATTCCCATTTTACGTCTTGCTTGATATCATGAAAACTGAGGGAGCTTTTAGATTTCTACTTTTATGAAATAGAAACCACAATTTTGAATGTTTCCTTACAAAGAGGGTAAACTGGACTTGGATGCAGAATAAGGAAAAAAGAATTCTCTGGTGGTTCCTCCTCCTAGGTGGGGAGCAGGGCATGTTCTCTGAGACTCCAGATTATCATGGAATGTGAAGAAGGAGGCTATACCAGTTTGCCTGGAATAACATTTCTGAAGACTTTTAGTTTCCAAAGTAATCTGTTACTTGACATCCCCCATCTAAGGCAGAGGAGGGATCATTGTGACTCAATATCCTGAGCACTGAGAAATCAAAGAAAATTCTACAAATATGCAACATAATTCAGTGAACTGAAGTCTCACCACCATGGGGCTTGAGGCAGAGCTCTCTCTGTGAAGACCTTTAAATGTTCAAGGAGCAAAATGCAGAGAAAAATAAATGAACAAAGAAATCATTACATCAGAACAAAAGAGAGTGAAGCAAACAAAGAAACAAATGGAAAACCAAAACTTGAGCTAGAGGCTTCACAGTCTAGACCTGTGTCACAGAAGAGGAACAGCGCACAGGAACATTTTTGTTCTTGCACATCTACACTGACCATTGTCTTCATAGGCTCTTGTAACAGCACTATCATGCTCTTACACAGATGGTTTCTAAGAGACACAGGGCTATATGAAACAGCCAGCTACTGTGCACAGTGAAAACGTATTTGTGACATGCTAGGAATACATTAAAAAACTCGATTGCATTGAGTTTGAATTGTAGAGAGAACACGCAGGATGAGGAGAAATAGTCATACCTTCCAGGGCAAATATTCTTTCTCCTAGAGCTTGAACAATAGTGACGAGAGCCAGTTCATCAGAGACGTTGAAGAAATGCTTTTCAGTGGGTTCACTTGCAATTGATTTTATTTCCTCCACAAATTTTTCAGTGCTTAAATTTCCTCGGTTATAGCTGCCAAGAATCTAAGACACAACAAAAATAGCAAGAACACATTTAACTTCTGTATGTTCAATGAGGATCTCAAACATATTGTCAGTAAACAAAAACGCAGAGTATCTTAGTGTAGTGCAATCTTTATGTATTTCCATACTTGCGGAAGAAGAATAATATTCAGAATATATGGTCTAATATTAACTATTAAACACTGCAAGTAGTGTAGGAAAAAATAAAGGACAATTTCATATGTGAGCGAAAATGTCTTCTCTTCCATTCATGTGTTCATATTTATTAACAGCTATATCTTTGAAAGCAAATACTTCAAAAGTAATATCAAGCTTCTGAATGTCTCTGAATCATTCCAGTTAAGTACATTCTCTTCTGCTGGCAAGATCAATCAGCAAGTAAGTTGCTTGATATTGGAATAAGTCATAACCTAAGTCAGCAACCCAGAAAATAAGGAATCTGGGCATTCCTTTTTGAAACCAAATGCTGAAGTCAGAGGCATTCTATTTTATGGAGAGGAAAGGGAGGCATGAATACCTATTATAGTTAACAATAATTATTTAGATATATGCAAGCAGATTTTCTAATTTAGTTTATCTTGAAAGTAGATTTATTAAAATACAGTTTATATAGTAAAATTCATGTTTTTAGGTGGATAATTACACGAGTTTTGGCAAATAAATACGGTTGTGTTACTATGAACTCAAGATATAGAATATTTCTATCAAATCAAAAAGTTGCCTCTTACCTTTTGTGGTCAATTCCTTTATTCCCACTCCTACCCCAGGCAACCATTGATCTATTTTATGTCCCTATAGCTTTGCTTTTCCCAGAATGTCATAGTTAGAAATTACATCCCTCTCTGTGGATGCCTCTCCTTTTATTCATTGAGAACATTGGTGTTGTTTTCAGTTACAAGATACCACAAAATAAAGCAAGCTTTAAATTTTTGCACCTAGGTCTTTTTGAACATAGGCTGAGGTGGGAGTGCTGAGTCCTACAGCAACTAGAACTTTTAAGAAACTACCAACTGCTAATGAATCAGACATAACTTTCCTATGTTCATATTAATACACCACCAAAATGCCACATCATGTATAACCACAAGAATGGGATCCTAATTAGAATAAGTTATATTCCATGTACATATAATATGTCAAAATACATTCTACTGTCGTGTGTGTGTGTGTGTATAAAACCTGCCAACTAATTTCCAGAATCATTGCTGGGCTTTCCCATTCCCATCAACAGTGTAAGAGAGATCCAGTGGCTCTCAATCTTGTCAACATTTGGTATTGTCAGTCTGTCTTTATTCACTTGTTTTAGTGTATTGGTGTATAGTAGCATTTTATTTACTTTGCATTTTCCTAATGACTAATGATATTAAGAGTCCTTCATGTAATTATTGGCCATAGTGTTTCTTCTTTAGTTGGTATCTGTTCAAATCTTCTGCCCATTGTAAAACATGGGTTGTTTGTTTTGTTTTCCTTTTAGTGAGTGGGAAAGTTCTAGGTATATTCTTATACAAGCCATTTATATGTTTTGCAAAAGTTCTTTTCAGTCTAAGGGTTGTCTTTTCATTTTTTTAACTGTATAAAGAGCAGAAATGTTTAATTTTGAAGTCCAACTGAGCAATTTTTGCTTAAGGTTTATGCTTTTTATGTCTAGAATTCAGTTTTTTTTGTAAAAGTTTCTTAGGATTTTGAATTTGAATATGAAAATATTCAAGTTAGTGAAAAATATTTTAAAATAATATGTAAATTTAAAATGCAAACCAGTTTATAATCCTAAATATGAAGATAGATGGGATCAAATTCTATTTTTTTAAATGCCTAACTATATGGACATTAAGAAATTGGAAAATTTTGTACCATAATCTATTATTTTTAAAATTTATGTCTAATAGGAGTTTGGTATTTCCTCCTTATATTTGCCTAAATATATTTTTAAAGTTGTTCTTTTACAATAAAAATGTCACTTTCCTAATAAGAGAAAAACGGTTAATCACACTATGTGCTAATGTGAGACTATGAGAATGTTCTTTACTAGAGAGAAGGTGGCAGTAGATTTGTTCCCAGTTTGTTTCCCCTTGCTGGAGTAATGCCCTTGCCCCTTTTCCTTGGGAATATCAGTGCCTAGCACAGAGAAATGCCACATGTATCCATAGTAGAGGACTTCATGACAACTTCCTGACTCCTGATACCCCAGAAAATCACTTTCCTACCTCCTGTACCTGTTAAAGGTGGTTACAAGGTGTAATTTGCTAATATCTGTGAAGAAGAGCTACTTTGAAGAGGAAAGCTGTTAAAGAAAATGGGAGCTAGCTCTAAGGTAATCAGCTTACCATTTAGGTAGGTTTTTAATTTTTGAAATCATTCTCTGCTAGGGTATCTAGACTTTAGGTAGGAAGGTCTAATCCAGAAGCTTAAAAATCACATCAAAAAATAAAAATTAAGTCCCTGTCTACTTTGTTGAAAAGAAAGTGCTAAACATAGTAGCTGTTAACATTTAAAAACACACCACTGACACTTTCTCCCACTTTAGCTATGTGATTGATGGAGGAAGAGAATTAGTGGAGAATATACTAGAAAACTGCTTCAATAAGTGAAAGCCAATGACTGTTGTTCTTATTACATTGAACAAATCCTCTCTTTCACTTAGAAACAATTATCAAGATGCTCTTCTTACAAAGAGATATCTCACCATATCTGGGAAGCATATGACTCAGAGTCAAATAGAAAATCAAAGTCTTCGAGTTTCAGAAGAAACATTACATCAATGGTATTCCTCTCTAAACACAATGTTGAACAACAACTACTTCCTCCTCCTCCTCCTCCTTCTCCTTCCTCTTCTTCCTCTTCCTCTTCCTCCTCTTCCTCCTCCTCCTCCTCCTCCTCCTCCTCCTCCTCCTCCTCTTCTTCTTCTTCTTCTTCTTCTTCTTCTTCTTCTTTGTCAATCTTTTTGTTGTTAATGGGTTTCTTTTAGATTCATCTATATTCTGAATTATGTGAGGCTCTTTGATTCTCTACTGATTTACCTAATTCAGTCTTATAAGTTATTTGACATATGCTAGAGTGAAAAACTCCCATCTTTCCTCCTTGGTTCCTATTTAGCATATTCTAGTTTACATGTTGGATTGACCCATTAACTTCCATTTCATTTATAAATTGATAATCATCTATGAAAATACATCTAAGTGCTGGGGTTGTGACTTACAGGTGGAGTGCTCGCCTAGCATTCGTGAGGCACTGGGTTTGATCCACAGCACCACATAAAAATATTGTGTCCACATATAACTAAAAAATAAACTTTAAAAAAAGAAAATACATCTAAAACAAATCTAATGAATTTTGTACTATGCATGATTGAGGTTGTTAATTGAGATGTGAATGTTATCAGACATTTATTGTCTATGTGACAGGACAGAGTCAAGTGGATAAAGTTCAATAGAAAAGAAAAGCTCAAGTGACATGCTTGTAGAATAAAAATAAGGTATAATATATACAATATAGGAGTACATGTTTTGAAGAAAAGCGTTCCTGAAGTCACTGTGACTTGCAAACTGTTTTAAACTATTTTACATTATAGATTTAAAAAAAAATAGAAACATATTTTGATTTTTCACCCAAGGGTCTGTTAGCTTGTAAAAACACAGCTTTCAATGAACAAGAGGGTTTCAAAAACAGCACTCTGAATTGCTCAATTAAAATATGTCAAGCCCAAACATTTGGAATTCTGCTAATGTTTACCTTAAATAGACATTCAGAATTGAAATTTCCTTGAGGTAAGAAGATGTGTCAAGTGTAAAGTATACAATTAATTTACATAAAGTATGGTGTCTTTATAAAAAAATTGAAGAAATTCTAGGATCCTTTCTGATGTCTCCTTTTCATTTGAAAGCTGTAGGTGAAATACACCTCAGAGTTATTATTTTCTAGAATTAGAATCTATAAAACAGACCCATGCTAACAAAGTCTAACACTCTCAAGTGACAGAAACAGACCATGGAGTAGAGGACACAAATCCAGCAAAGTACCCTCACCAGGTTTGAAAGTTTGACAGGAAGTGTTCACAGTTTTGACACAGAGAATTTACATTATCAATAGCCCATAATTTTGGAAGCTATTTCCTGGCAAAACCTATCAAATGGTGGGTAAAAAAAGATGGAGTAGAAGAATGAATACAGGAAATGACTGAAGCAGAACTTTAGGTGTATTCATATATAGATCTTGAGAAATCCTAAAATCTTTCTGTGTTAATGCACAAATGAAAGGAAGTAAAAGAATTGTTATTTCTGAATTTAGCCCAAATAATATGCCAGCCACAATAACAAAACATATTTCACTAGGAAAAAGAAACATGCATTAGAAAAAAATAATAAAATGACTCTTGCTAAATGAAATTTCCCTTTATGTTTTTATTTATACCACTTTTGAGCACAGTCTGATAATAATTCACTGATTAAAATAAAAAAAAAAACTTGTAAATATATGGTTCTCCATGAAATTCATGGAATTATGAGATCTGTTTCTGACTAGATGAGAGGCAGTATGTTATGCATTATCAACTAGGGGTCCACCAAAGGGAAGCAGTGGTTTAATAGCAGAAAATACTGAAAATATAGCCATATATGATGTAAAATGCAAGATTCATTTAAAATGAAGAAGTCATTTATTGATATTTTCTTTATAGTCAACTTTTCCTAGTGCTGTTAGTTTTGATGATGTTCTATACTATTCAGAATCTGCATCTGTGACACCTGGAATGCCAGTCCTTATCCTCTGGGGGAAGAAGAACAAATGACACCACCTCTGAAACTAAGCCCAGGGGACACACTGGGCATGCACTGGCTTTGCAGACTAAAGGGATCAGCTATAGACTCTAAATGTCACCACCATTTGGACATTTTCTCTGAGTGAAGGCTGGGTCCTATGAATTCTTTTTTTTTTTTTAAAGAGAGAGAGAGAGAGAGAGAGAGAGAGAGAATTTTTTTAATATTTATTTTTAGTTTTCGGCGGACACAACATCTTTGTTTGTATGTGGTGCTGAGGATCGAACCCAGGCCACACACATGCCAGGCGAGCATGCTACCACTTGAGCCACAGCCCCAGCCCCTATGAATTCTTTTCAACTATGAATGCAATCAAAATAGGTACATTGTAGCAACAGGAGAGGTAACAAAGAACTAAACAATAATTGGCAAATGAAAAATTTTAAAAGTAACAAGAGGGGGAAATGAGAGAAGTAATAGATGTTCTAATTTTTCTATATTTTATATGTCAAATAAAATAGGAAAATCTTGTTGTCAGAAGTTGTTCACAATCAGGTCATCTTAGTTATAAAGTAAGGAATACCTTGCCCCTGGGACACAGTGAATCAATTATGTCCAGAAACTTTTATCCATGGATGAAATTTTTTCTTCCCTTCCTACAATGTTCATACTTTTGAAAGAACAGAAATAGATATCACTGATTACTAAAAAAATAAGGTGAGTAATATTTGGTTATTATTTATAAATAAAAGGGATTTTCTTGAAAAATAGAGTAGGCTGAACTCTTTAGAGTTCTGAATATTTTCTCTGACTTTTAAAAAAATTTTCCCCACATTTTTATTGGTGCATTATAGTTGTACATAATGATGTGATTTGTTTTTACATATTCATACAGGGACACACTTTAGCTCCCTGATTGTTGCAAACTTTTTTAAAAATGATGAGCATCAAATGTCTAAATTGCCACTCTGCTACATTTTCAAAATCTTTATCTCACTGATTCTGTTTAAAAAAAAAATATATATATATATATAATATATATATATATATATATATATAAATATATATATTTAGTTGTAGGTGGACACAATATGTTTATTTTATTTTTTTATGTCACGCTGAGGATTGAACCCAGTGCCTCAGTATGCTAGGTGGGCGCTCTACCACTGAACCACAACCCTAGCCCCTCACCAATTCTTTACCTGGGACAGGGGAGAGAAATAACATTACCCTATTTTACAGATGAAGAAGCTGAAGCTCAGAGTATTAAGTGGCTTGTCCACTTGTCACACAGCCAGTATATAGATAAGACAGAATTAGGACACAGGTGTTGTATAATGTCTTTTGCTCTTCCCCTGCCTACCCTTCTATTCCCTTCTGTTCTGTTGCTCACTTCCGGGAAATGTCATAATCTAGGTCGATGTAAGTCCCAGAACAGACTGACTAAGAGTTGTAGCTATGAAGATATCACTGTGACTTAGATTATTTTAAAAACCATCTCCCCCGTTTTCAGTCTATTAACTTTCAGTATAAATTATTAATTAGTAGGCAATGGGTTATTTACTAGTATATCTTCAGTGTCCGTCCTCCCTCCCTCCCTCCCTCCCTTCCTTCCTTCTCCTCCCCCTTTTCCCCTTTATCTCTCCCTCCTTCCTCTCCTTTTGATTTTCCTGCCTCTTTCCCTAGATCATTTTTCTCTTGCCCACACTCTTCCTCTCCTTTCCACCTTCTTTTTTCCCCTCCCTATTTCTATCCTTCTTTCTCCTGCTATTCTCTCCCTGCCTTCTTGTTGTATTTTTTTCTTCCTTCTTCCTGTTGGGTGTGTGGGAAACCTTGCCTTTGGTTTTATTTCCCCCATCAGGTTTCTCCCCTTACCCCTCCTCCTCCTCTCTGAAGGGTGCCAAGCAGAACAAGGGCACCAAAGTCAAAAGTTTTGGTTAGTCACTTGCCTTTCACTTCCTCCTTTCATCTTTCCACATTTCTTCCAATGACTGTGTGTTGAGTGTTTGATTGGCCCAGCACTGAGCTGGGCACTGAGGACACAGGACAGAGCAGGACCTAATATTGTCCAACAGTTTACCTTCAAGTTTGGGAGTTTCTCCTTTCCAACCCTGCGTGTGATCTTCCTTAAAACTCCCACAATATGCTCACAGTTCTCTTCACACCAGAGTTTGAAAACCACCTCTAGCAAACATGTACTTACAGCTATGGAAAATCGTTGGATGTTTTCATCTTCACAGTCTTGGATGACCTTGTTCAGTCGGTGATTGTCATGGGACTCTCCATCAGTCACAATGACCATGACTTTTTTAACTCCCCTTCGGGCACCGCGGGCTTCAGTGAATGCCTCCTTCCTGAAGTGAGCACAGGGGAAGGGAAGCTGATAAACACCACCCAAGGATAGCAAAGCGAAAAAGCAAACTGAAACACCAGCACTCTGGGTAGTTGGTGTGTTCCCCCAAATCTCCATCGATAGCCATTTTTCAAGCCAGGAGGCATGAGGATCCTTGTTTGTAATGGTTTCAGAGATGTTCCAGACGAACATCATGTGGTTCGTCACCATTTGGCTAATCACCACTTAGGCCATATACAAAATGCAGCAGTACTTTCTTCTTTGAAAATTTCAAAGGGAGAGTGTGACCAGAGTATGCATGAGGAATAAAAGAATGTAGAGGTTGGTGGTCTGTCAGGGGCAAATTTGGCAAGATTATAGGGAAAAGGAGGAAGTGGGTAAACTAGGTTTTAGAACACAAACCACTGAAGGTGGAGTGAGAGGAGGTGAAATGAAGAGAAAGAAAAAGTAACCTAACCCCAAAGAAAGGAATTTTAGTTTAATTCAATAAGCATTTATGGAGAGAGACAATAGAGAAAATGGACAAATTATTGTTTATTTATTCTACACACACACACACACACACACACATACTTTCCCCCCATCTATTACTTCCTTTTACTCAACTCACTTTGCTCTCTGGAGTCTTGGAAGAGAGGAATATACTTTAATAAAGAGTGAAACAATGAAAGGATTTCATAATATACTCTTCTTAGATTTTGAAATAAAGTGTAACAATCATTGCACTAACTGTGCCTTTAAATATTTTACTTTTATTATAAGGATGCAAAGCTGCAGTTAGGGATATATATGCCAAAGAAGCACCCCTCATAAACTACTGTTCCAAATGTTGCAGGATTCCTGTGAGTCCTGCCATGGATCCACAGGAAAAGCACAAGAGTAAGTATCTTGGATCAGGGGCAAAGATCTGGTAATGTGGGCAGTGATTTATTTTTCCTTTTCATATTTAGAGCAAATATGACAACATGTTGACAATTGTCAATTCCATGTGGATAGATACACAAGATTTCATTTATTATTCTTTAAATTCTTTCTTTTCCTTAAATTTTCCAAAACAATGAAAAAAATGGCTAACTGTATTTCTCTATCTGGTATACTTCACAAAATCTTTCTCTTCAACCACAATTGAATCAAACTCTCTGAGTCCTCTTCTAGACCAGGCTCTCACCCTTAGCTTTGTCCTTGGCCTGTGTAGTCCAGTTTTAACTGAAGCTGCTAAAGCAGAGTCATCTGACCCTCTTCTGGTTCTAAGTGCTGCCTGATTCATGGGTCATTCTTTGTTCAAATGCACTGTTAAATTTAATTCATCTGAAGTTTTTCTTTTAATAAGTAAGAACTATGTCTTCTGCCCTTGGTTCCTGATACATAATTACAAATTCCTTGGAATTTCCTGGGTGGTGGGAGGGTCTAATGATGTGACTCTTGGTGAGCTGCTAGATGGGATTTGGCCACCAGAAGGACAAAGCCATATTTAGAAGCTTGGAATTTATAGCCCCAGTCCCCATTCTTTACAAAGTGGAAGAGGACTAGAGATTGAATTAATGACTGATTAGTCATGCCTACCTCATGAAGCCTCCATAAAACCCCCTGAGTTATGGTTCAGAGAGCTTCCAGGTTGCTGAACATATGCAAGGTGGTACACCCAGAAAAGACATGGAAACTCAGGGCTTTCTTCCCCATATATGGGTCTGGATATCTGTTGCATCTGGATGTGCCTGAGTTCTATAACTTTATAATAAATATAAGTCCAGTGCTTTCCTGAGTACTGTGAATTACTTTAGCAAACAATCAAACCCAAAATGACATTATAGGAACCTCTGATTTATAGCAAAGTTGGTCAGAAGGTGTGGGTAATCTGGAAATCTACTGATTACAGTTGGCTCCTGAAGTCTTATGGGACTGAGCCATTGATGTAGGGAATTGCACAAACTCTAGTTGATGTCAGAATTGAAGTAAATTGTATCTGGTGTCAGAGAATTAGTCAGTGTGAAAAAAGAACATACTCATCTGGTGTTGAAACTGAAGCACTGAAAGTTCAGAGTATAGAAGGAGTTTTTTCTACTCTTCACCTGCCTTCAGCAAGAATCATGTTGAGTCAGTCTAGCAAGACTTACCCTAGCCTCATTATTTCCTTAGAGTAATTTTCCATCCACTGACTTTCTTCTCTGCTCCACAGTTTTTGTATTCCAAGCTGAGCCCAACATCTCTTAGCTACTACAAAGCCTCCATTAAAGCCAGATGCTATGGCATACACCTGTCATCCCATTGGCTAGGCAGGCTGAGTCAGGAGGATCCCAATTTCAAATCCAGCCTCAACAAAAGCAAGGTGCTAAACAACTCAGTGAGATCCTGTATCTAAATAAAATACAAAATAGGCTAGGGATGTGGTTCAGTGGTAGAGTGCTCCTGAATTTAATCCCTGGTACAAAAACAAAAACAAAAAAAACCCCCACAAAAAACAAAAAACAGTGGTCCCTCTTGAATCAAGTCTTTCTCATCATCTTTAACAAATATATGAATAATTTTCTTCAACATACTATATAAAATTTTTTTGACTTCTTTAAATATATGAATAAATGTGAAAATAGATGCCCAAAATTAGGCCTTAAGAGAAGTTTGGACCTGGATATCATGAATTCAAACCTTTTGTAATTTTAATTTCTTAGAGGACTGCCAAAGCTTGCTAATTTTCTTAAAGGTCAAGATCATAACTGAACTAAATGAATGTCAGTTGAAGGAGATGATTAAAAGACTGTTCTTAAAGAAAATCTGGTTGTTCTGAAACCAGGGCTGAATTTATGTAATAGAAGAGTGTCCACTGACAAAGCTCCTGAGTATATACTTTCTATCTCAAATATATTCCTTAATAAATTGTCCTTGTCTCCAAAATACCAGAATCCAATGTTCTTTCTTGGAATTAAGAAATTAATTAGAAATTAATTCCAAGGAAATTAACTCCTTTAAGAATTAAAATATCCCAGGGAAGTTACTTTCTTTGGGTCATGAAAATCTAGCCTTATATTTAAATAGTGTAATTCCTATTATCTGGAATGAATATTTGGTATAGGAAGAAATGAAAAATTTAAAAGGTATTTTGAATTGGGAGCCACTGAAAATGAAGATAATGGATTCTAAGAAATTTAAAATGTTGTTTGCACCTCCTCACCTTGCCTGAAAGGAATAAAAAGCAATTTAAAATATGCATAAACATGAAAACCTAATGTATGAGAAAAATAGTTAGTGCTGCAATATTACTATGAAATTTTAGTGCATATTAAAAATTCAACAAATTCTGTTTCCTTCACACAGACTCTTTGTGAAGCATGTAGGCAAAAACCATACAGAGACATACTGTTTAGAGTGGTATTTATGCAGGAAAAAAAGCAGTCAGAATATTTCTTCAATTAGTTTCAAAGATGAATATTCATTCTTAAGTGATTGCCTTTGGAAAATGCACAATTCTTTGCAGGCTCAGAGTTTTCAAAGAACAATTGGATTTATTTTGAATGTGTGGTCACATTTAGTCAGTTACTAAAGAGGGCACATTCAGGACATCTAAATATATGCACACTGTGCATGCAGATTGGTGATCCCACAGGCAGGTAAATGCAGAATGATTCCTTCTGTTGGTGGTTATTTTCTCTTGAAACCCATGTAACGAAACCCACATGCTTTCCTAACATTTATGAGACTGAAGCTACACATGAAATTTTAAATATCTGACTATCCTAACCCATTCTTTGTAGTCTCCATATTAATCTCCATTTTAATCTCTTTACGACACTGATTTTGACAGGGGAATGACCCTGGGCAATTAGCTCTTCAAAATCAGGTAAAATCTAGCAGTTGAACAGAAGGGTTCTTGATTATTATTAGAGTTGAATTGAGTAATTTCCAGTTTTTGTTTAGAAGCTTGCTAGGTTGAACGGTAATAAGGGGAGCAATATCAAGAGAAAAGAACTAGAGGAAATTGGGGGAAAAGGCAAGAAATAAAATGTGCGTTTGTAAGCATTTGTAAGAGAGGACAGTGTGCTCTGTGTTCTCCATGAGGAAATCTGCAGAAAGGAAGAAGGAAGGAATGCAAACTGTAGAGAATTCAAAGCAAGAAAGGAAGGACACAAAGCAGTACAAATGATGAAGCCTTTTTCATTTCTTTCAAACTCAGCACTGAAAATAATTTCAAATAAGACAACATTTAATTTGGCTTCCTAAAAATTATTACCTGAAAGCTTCAATAATCCTAAATCATTACTAAAAATATACATACAAACTAGAATATATATATATATATATATATATATATATATATATATATATATAGAGAGAGAGAGAGAGAGAGAGAGAGAGAGAGAGAGAGAGAGATATTGAGAGAGAGGATTACATTTAATCCATACTTTTAGGTTGAGATTCCAAGAAGGTAAAAACAAAGAATTGATGGGAAACTGTTAACTAGCATTAAGACTCAAGATCATGATGCAATAGACTATGTGCTTTTAAAAAATTGATTCTCCATCCAATCAATTATTGTTTCTTGTAATACTGGGAAAAGGTAAGAAGGGTTGTGAGATTGCATTATAGAAAAGCTTGATTCTCTAGTAGCTAATCTTCTAAATCTAATTTAAAACAAGAGGTCATTAAATATCACCAAGGTAAATGTTCAGAGGGTAATATCACGAGCAGTTATTTTGTATAGTCTTTTACTTTGGGTTTTTATTCAAATACCTTGCTGTGTCTATTCCAAGGGCTGTCATAGTCTGGCGGCCACCTCTCTGGACAATTTTTTTTGCTGCAACAAGTACTTCTTCAGTTGATGAATACTTATTGAGGTTGAACTCATGGGTTACATTTTCTCCATACTGTACAATTCCAACCTGAAATACCAAACCACCATGAGTTATGCATCTGGCAAGATTCATTTTCAGTTTTCTCCAGTTTAAACCTGAAGGTCATATATAACACATTTCAGCCTCTTAGATAGGTCTGAAAATCTCTCAGTGCAGAAATCTTTCTTCAATAGCAATAATCATAATCATTCTATGGGTATGAATAGCCTGAAGAACAAAACTGGTTTATCTATTCAACAATGTTTCCTGAGTGATTCTGGCAGGCTTAAAAAATAATAGTGTGCTATATTTTAACTTATTTTTTTTCATTTTACTCTCTTCTCTAGTTTATTCAAATTATAGTAACAGAAGTAAGTTGCTATATGATCAGATTCATAAATTAAGACATAGTTTTAAAAACTCACTTCCTATAGTGAAGGGGTAAAAGAGTGTCTGGTTATTTATCCCAGGGCTCTACTCCTCCTCAAATGTGCCCCTGAAAACCCTCCATTCTTTAGTCACCTCCCCTGCTCCCTTGTACTAATCAGAGGAGATGCTGAAATACACTGGAGTACATGATAAAACACAAATGGATAATATTTTTAACAGAAACAGAGCACATGAATTCTCCCTTAAAGATGCTTAGTTGTGTATAAGATAATAAGAAAGAACTAGAGAATATATGTAAGTGAAAGATGAGATGTACATTATAAACTGAATGAAAACACAATAAATTCAGTAGATTAGCTCTGTTCTTCTATGAACATACCTGTCACCCAATATCCTTTACCATCTGTCCCAAGCCATTTGTTATTTGGAACAAAGATGACCAGAAATACCTTTGAGAACAAGGAAGGATAACACCAACTAAATACATAAAGCATTAAAAAATTCATGAGGAAATATCCACGCCACCAATTCATGTTATTTTCTTGATATATAATTAAATGTGATGGCTATTTTTTTATTATCTTTTGCATAGAATTTTTTTTCCTATTAGGAATTGAACCCAGATGTGCTTTACCATTGAACTACATTCCTAGCTTTTTAAATTTTTTTATTTTGAGACAGGGTCCCACTAAGTTGCTTAGGGCCTCTTTAAATTGCCTACGCTGGCCTCAAACTTGCAATTCTTCTGCCTCAGCCTCTCAAGTCGCTGGCATTTCAGGCATATATCACCACAACCAGCCCTTCTGCATAGATTTAAATGTTTTTCTCCAGTGACCTTACTAGCTTTTGATTAGTAAACTTGGGTGACACTGGATAATTATTAAGAGGAATCCATATAGTTTTCACATTATTTTTGGTATCTAAAAGTTCAGTATAAATAAAAGTGAAATGATTTTGTCTCCAAGATAATCATTATACCTAATCCTAGGTCCTAAGGTGAATAAATAATGTGGTGAAAGTTAATTGCTCATCCATTCAGGACATCTTGCAGAGTTCATTTTGTTTTTTACTTCCCTGTGTTTTTATTTGATTAAGCTAGAGGCTAAAGAATATTTGAAAAATTTCACTTCTACTCCAGCCATTATTCTTGAAAGGTTTTGCATCTACCTGGATAGTCTACTGGACACTGTTGTCTCTCATTTCTTTGACTTCTTCAGCTTCTTTACTCTAGCTTACCTATGCCATCCTTTGCAAGGTCTCATCTTTGACCTTATGATCTGGAAGAACTGCAGCCAAGCAATTAAATCACATGTTCTTCTTTTTGATGATTTACTTCAGCTCATTTACTGAGAACACCCAATTTATCAATTTCTTGGCCACATTAGGACTGCAAAACCTCAAATAAATTCATCAATCTTACTTTTTTTGGTACTTAGCCTAGATTTCATGGTCCAATGTCTATAATCATTTACTTGAAACAATTTAACTCTCTTAACCTTTTTTTCCCCTCCATTAACTCACTTGGCTAACTTCCAAATCTGGTTAAATCCCACCTTCTACTCTGAGTGTACTTCTGTGATACCAACGGTTGCTATGCAAACACCACACAACTGGTCTCCCTTTAAAATTAATGACCATGGATTTTGAATGGGGTTGCACATTTAAGTACTGCCCAACAGTCCTACTACTTTGTACAAATGAGTGTACTTTGTTCCCATTTATTGATTTTAGTCAAATTTATGCCATAAACTGTTAACTCCTCAGGAGAAAGAAACCATCCCACTTATACCTGGGGAAGAGAGCTCATGAGGGGAGGTGGAGCCCTGACAACCAAACAAGGCTGCTTCGAGCTGGATGTATGTTAATATTTTATTTATGCAACATGCTTTATGTATCTTATAGAGGCTTCTATGAACTATTCCATTATCTGTATAAATAACACTAAGAATAGTGAAAATTTAAATCTTGCTAAGTTTTAGATATCAGTCCCTTATATTTTACATCTCCATCTACAATCTATTATCTATCTATATTTTCTATTTATCTATTTCCCTCCCTCTCTCCCTAACATGTGTCTTACTTCTATTCTCTATTACAAACTTATCCTTTGTAGATGTTAAGATACAGGAGAAACTAAGGCTGATGGTTCCCTCATCTCACCTGTATACTTAGCTTCTAGTTACTCCACCTGAGACTTTCTTGAGCCCACTGCCCTTGGACTTGTGTTATTCAGTTTTTTGTTGCCACGAACAAAATACCTGGATATGAACAACTTAGAGGATGACAAGTTTATTTGGGGCTCACAGTTGGTTTTAGAGGTCCCAGTCCATGGTCTTCTGATTCTATTGCTCTAGGCCAAAAATGAGGCAGTGTAGATGGTAAAAGGTCATGGTGGAGGAATGCTGCTCCATTACTGCAGCCAGGAGGCATAGGGATGGGACGGGACTACAAAAAAAGGTGAACCCTTCCAGGGCACACCCCTAGTGACTACCTCCTCCAGGCTTGCCCCACCTGCATATAATTATCACCCTGTCCATTCAAACTAGGCTGGACTGATTTGATTACAGCTTTCACAATCCAATAAATTCACCTTTGAACATCACTGCATTATCATATGAGCTTTTGGGATACACCTTACATCCAAAACATAATAGACTCCTGAACTGCTTTGCCGCAAATGTTTAAAGAGCCAGAATTGCCAAGGAATGCTCTCCCGCCCCACCTCTCACTCTCCCCACAGGCAATGCCTGCATCCAAGGAACAAAGAACCTGCCCCTTGACCCAAGTTGGAGCTCCCCTTTTAGATTAGGCTTAGGCCTGGACTTCATCTGAAACCACACCCCTGTTGCTACTCCAATTTCATTCCCTAGATTCCTTCCTATTTTTTATTGGAATTGCTTCCTTAATAAATAACTAACATGCGAATCCTCTCAGTGTTCAACTCTCCCTTTTGAAGAATGGAACTTAAGGAAGCTATCACCCATGTTTCTTTATTCCTGTCTTAGCTCAGGCCACATACCATTGCCTTGAACTTGGACCACAGCAATGTTGGTCTTTCCACTGGTGATCTTCTTCCTTCCATTTCCATTCTCCTCATTTTTTTTCCATATATTACTGGAAGATTACGTCTGACATTCTGTATTCATCACATCCCTTCCCTCTTCCAAAACCTCCAATCACTCCATTGCCTACCTCAATGACTTTGAAATATAATTTAAAAGAGAACATTTTATTCTAATTTAAAAGAAAACAAATAAAACCTCAAGCTGCTTCTTGATATATAAGGTTCCTTCAAAAAATGTTAAAATCTAGTTTTTCTCCCATGAGTCTGGTCCTACCTTGTCTATTCACCCTCATCTTAAGGACTTCTCAGGAATAACTGCACCTTACCAAATGCTCTTCCTTTTCCTTCCAACTAAGCTAAACTTTACCTATTTTGTAAGATTTAATTCAAGTTCTACTTCTCTACAAAACTCCCCCCACCTGGTCAGAGCCCATGTTGCCTTTCATCTTCTCAGAACTCTGAAGCAGATTTGTCTGTGAGTGCTGCATGCTTCACAACTGATCTGTGAACACACTTTAGCCCTCTGCTACATTGTGAGTTCCAAGACAGAAGGCAGGGGTAAAGAGCATGGACTCTGCCATACTTATTATGTATTCTTTTGTTCCTGGCTGCTGCTCTGCTGCTCTGCTGCTCACAGCTGACCTTCTTACATTCCAACTAGATGACTGTAACACTTCACATGAGCAAGTAAAGCTGATATCTCATGGAAATAATAATAAGCAGAAAAAGAGAGCTAAAAAGAAGTGTGGGAAATGAAAAGTGGGGGAGGAAAAACCCAAGTCTCAGGGAAATAACGTCCAGTGCAAGTCCCTGGCTGATACTGGCTGCTCGTTTCCTAGGAAACCAGATGGAATAAGGCCTGCTGTGAGTCGTCCCCAGAAAAGGGTACCATTTATTAATTTCCATTACAGGAAAAGGGTCAAACCACAAAACAAACACATGTAATACTGTGCTGAGTATTGGTGAGACCCAGATCAATTGAAATAGTTTCAGTCCCACCTTAGCTTATCATTTAAAGTAGATACAACTACTGATTGACTGATACAAGCATAATATGGATATATGCAGCAGAATCAAATGAGAATTAAAGATAAAAAGTGAGCCAGGTACTGAAGACACATTGTGAGGTGGTGGGAGGAAAGAGAATCATGAGCATATTCATAGTCTCACATTGAAAAGCCTCATGCAGGAGGGAGATCCAGCTTCCTGAATAAGTTAGCCAGGTAAAAAATAATAGGTAATTCAGTATAAAAATACAATGGGAGGAAACAAAGTGTTCTTAAGGCTGGAAAATATCTCAAGGATGATAATTAAATGAATTTAAACCATTTTCAAAAATTAGAGAGGCACAACCAGTAATCATCACTTTTGATCTGAAGTCATCAATTGCACTGGAATGATACAAAGTCCAGGGGAGAGAAGTGGAGAGCTGTTAAGGAGTGATGCACAAGGAAGATTCCAGGAATATTGTTACATGGAAATAAATAAGCAAGATAGCAGCTAAAAGAAGCAACTGGATTAGAGGTAGACTTTTTTTTGGTTGCTGAGGATGGAACCCAGGGACACTTTACCACTGAACCACATCCCTAGCTCT